GGTACTGTCTCTTTTAAGAAGACGAACAGCAGCTTAGACAGGTGGGGGTAACACAGTTCAATGCAGAGAAAACAGTTTTCAACATTCACAATGAAGTGCAGTAAGCTTGTGCGACCATGTGCTTTGCAAGATGGCGGATGGCACTGAGCTTGATTGCAGATTAGGCACACACATATACACAGCAGGCTTAGGGATTCTATGCATCTTTTGACTATTCTGACTCAGATTGTTGTGATAGCGATTTATCCCTTGTGAGACCTCTCTGCCTAGCCTGTATAAGCAGATATAATCACTGTAGACAATCCTTATCAGATAGCTTGAACTCACCAATACTGTGTTCATCCAGAAGTTGCTTTATTCTGTACATGTGACAACAGGATACAGCATTACTAATTATAGAAATGTCCATAGGAAATGGTACAAAGAATAAACTATATGAACTCTCAAGTACATTAACATAAATATTAACTGTGTAACAGCATACTCCCCGTCTGGCATTGTAAATGTCACTATTTAAACCATAACGGTAGTTATACAATTGCAAATAAACAACAGTGCAATTTGCTTGATGTCTTGAAGACCTGAAAGACATAAAAAAAAAAGAACATGAAAATATATTGCAACAATCATAACGTAAGGCTTCAAGATGTATCAATTAAAGTTCAAGACACTTCCTTCTTCAAGTCACAGGTTGGATCCAGCAGCATACGCAAGCAAGTTCATTCTCCAAAGGGCAAGAGCAGAACAAGTTCCGTGATAGTCTGCTGAAAGTCTTTACAGTCCCTTGTCTTGCAACTTTCACCTCCACCTTGCGTACCTTGCCGTCATCACTAGGAATGCTCTTTACAATGAGTCCCATAGGCCACTCGATTCTTTCAGCTTGCTGGTCCTTCAGCAGAACAAGATCTCCAACTTTAATGTTAGGGTTCAGGCGTTGCCATTTTCTGCGTCCCTGCAGAGTAGAAATATACTCCATTCTCCAACGATTCCAGAAGTGGTTGGAGAGGTGTTGTACTCGCTTCCACTGGTCATAGCACATATTTCCTGTTTTAAAGTTTCCAGGTGGAACAGGAACGGACCCAAGCTTCTGGGTAAGTAGAGTAGCTGGGGTAAGGATAGTTGGGGTCTCTGGATATGTAGAAACTGGAACAAGTGGTCTTGAATTGATTATGGCAGATGCTTCTGAGAAGATGTTAAGCTCTTTTCTCTGACTTGTAGCAAGGGAAGCTGAGGTGTAACAGCTCTATATATATATATTTTTACAAACAAAAAAAAATGAAATAATCAAAAACTAAGGACTCCTCCCATCATGGATTCTGTCTATCACCATGATTCAGTCTATTGTAAAACAAACTGGGCTTGTATTGCACAAAGGCACTTTTTCATGCAGAAAATGCTAACCCAGATGGTATTGAAATGGAATCAAATCATGCATATGGCCAAATACAGGCAAACATTTTTTATTGAAGTGAGATTAGATCACAGCAAAGAAGTTCAATGTTTCGGAGCATGTAGGACCCCTTCATCAGGCATGCGTTGATCATATGCACAACAAAGGGGTCCTGTGCAGCTCAGAAAAATTGCACCTTTGCTGTAACATAATAACTCTTCAATAAAAAAAATATTAGGACTGTACCAGGGGCGGACTGACACAACTCATGGGGCCCCCGGGCAATAGGGGATCATGGGGCCCCTGTGTCCTTGCCCAAACTCAAAAAAGCCTATGAAAAAGGTACCAGGGGCATCTCATGGGGCCCCCTACTGCCCCCGGGCCCTCGGGCAGTGCCTGAGTTTCCAAATGGTCAGTCCGCCCCTGGACTGTACTTGAAGATCCGTGGTGTATAGCAAATATTCACACTATACTATGCATGATTCCAGTCTCCAGCTGGCTGTTGCTGCAGCACCTGTTATTTTCTGAGCCTATTCCAGGAACATGTGCTATGGAAATATTGAAAAATGGCCAGGTATAGGATAACATTTTGTGAAGGAGCAGTGAAGCCCAGCCATTGTGTAGCATTGCAAAGGAGGAAACCGAGTATGGTTCTATAATAAGCAAATATATACAGTATGCCCCCATTTATATATATAAGTTATACATATTTTTTTTCTAAAACATTATCTATTTTATCTTAATAATATTATTAGCATCAATCAGATCTATTTGATTCATTGGTTAAACAATAAACACTAAAAAGCTATACATTGCTTTTAACAACTGAAGATAATTACAAGATGGAATAAGAAATGCTAATTTATTATGTACAAAAATGTCAAGTGAGAACACTGCACACAATTTGCAGTCATGGTCAGCCTCTTGACCTTACAGATCCAGGAATGGTCCCTCCTGCATCCTCTGCAGTTAGGTCATTGTCTGTAGATGATAGTTCCAAATTAAGACATAGGTGACTTTTCTACTTGTGTGATTTTCGCATCTCAGCAAATATGTGTGCTCATTATGCATTACTCAAGTGATTATGATAGCACTCTTCTCTTTCATGCTTCTTGATTTTATTATGATAATAAAGGTGCTGGAGCTGTAAACGAAGCATGGTCAGGACAACCAATGAATGCTTCTGTCTAAACAGAGTCTTGTAATCAGTATCCAGAGTATGAATGTGTTACTCATTAGGCAATAACTCAAATCACTTAGTGCACAAATTTGATGTTAAAATTTTGCAGTCAATTTGAAACACATAAACACTTATCCTGTTTGACTTTCACAGTTGAACTTCTTATTTTTGTTATTGGTTAAATACAGCCACATCATTTTTGCTGATTAATTCATAAAAATGGCCAAGAAAATTAACTTGTTGCCAAGTTTACTTACTTGGACCATTAACAAACTAAAATTGAGTGTTTTTTTTACCCTTATATTTTCTGCTATATGCTTATACCAATTATTATTATTATTATTATTATATACAGGATTTATATAAACGCCAACAGTTTGCTCAGCGCTTTACAATATAAAGGGAGACAATACAGCAACAATACAGTTCAATACAAGAGGGTTAGGAGAAACTGCTCCTCGAAGCTTACAATATACTCACATACAGTTTTAGTGGGATATTTTGTTAGTCTAAGGCCACCAAACTTTTTTGTGAATAACTGTTAGGTCAGAAATGAACTGTGGTTTTCTAAAACACTCCTAGCCAAAACAGCATGGCCTTTCCATTAAAGCAGTGTTTCTCAACTCCAGTCCTCATGGACCCCCAACAGGTCATGTTTTCAGGATTTCCATTATTTTGCACAGGTGATTTGATCAGTTTCACTGCCTTAGTAATTACCACAGCTGTTTCATCTGAGGGAAATCCTGAAAAACATGACCTGTTGGGGGTCCATGAGGACTGGAGTTGAGAAACACTGCGTTAAAGACATCTTAAGTGGAGCTTGCAGTTCATTTTTGGAGCACTTAAACGCTGTTGGGGTGTGCCTACAGTCAACGAGGCTCATATAATGTTTGAGGAAGTCTCAAACCTTCTTTGTCATTTCCCTGTGCAGTATAGCATAGTGATAGGTGGTATAAAAGCTTCCACTGTCCTACCAACAACTCACATTCTTATTGACTTATGGGGCTATTTTTATATTTTTTTTCATTAGAACACATGTATTCTTGCAGTTCACTTAAATGATAAATGCAGCTTTAGGCCTACTTTCCACGCACTTTCCAAACAGTTTGGATTAATAATTCATGTGTGTTAGAATTAAGGCAATGCACCAGAAGAGGTTTAAAGTGATAATAAAGCTTTTTTTTTTTTTTTTCTGTTAAATTAATAAACACATCATACTTACTTGCTCTGTGCAGTGTTTTTGCATAGAACATCCCCGATCATCTTAAATATACTTCTAAATAAGTGCTGCGCTTCACAACAAACAAATAAAAAAATAATTAAAAAATGTACACTATACATATAAGTGCAATAATTAACACATAAAGCAAACTTATATGAACTCTAGTTGTGCAATTGACATCCAACAGTCTAATGCCAATAATATGTATTTAAGTCCCAACATCAACTGTACATTCCTGTTAGTAGTGACTCCAATACAGCTCTTCCAATCTCTTCATCACCAATGTGCCAAACAATATACACTATATTGCCAAAAGTATTGGGACGCCTGCCTTTACACGCACATGAACTTTAATGGCATCCGAGTCTTAGTCCGTAGGGTTCAATATTGAGTTGGCCCACCTTTTGCAGCTATAACAGCTTCAACTCTTCTGGGAAGGCTGTCCACAAGGTTTAGGAGTGTGTCTATGGGAATGTTTGACCATTCTTTCAGAAGTGCACTGGTGTCGGACAAGAAGGCCTGGCTTGCAGTCTCCGCTCTAATTCATTCCAAAAGTGTTCTATCGGGTTGAGGTCAGGACTCACTTCCTCCACCCCAAACTCACTCATCCATGTGTTTTTGGACCTTGCTTTATGCACTGGTGCGCAGTCATGTTGGAACAGGAAAGGGCCATCCCCAAACTGTTCCCACAAAATTGTCCAAAATGTCTTGGTATGCTGACGCCTTAAGAGTTCCCTTCACTGGAACTAAGGGGCCAAGCCCAACCCCTGAAAAACAACCCCGCACCATGATCATCCCTCCACCAAACTTTATACTTGCCACAATGCAATAAGGCAAGTACCGTTCTCCTGGCAACTGCCAAACTCAGACACGTCCATTGAATTGCCAGACAGAGAAGGGTGATTTGTCACTCCAGAGAACATGTCTCCACTGCTCTAGAGTCCAGTGGCAGCATGCTTTACACCACTGCATCCGAACACTTTGCATTGCACTTGGTGATGTAAGGCTTTGATGCAGCTGCTCGGCCATGGAAACCCATTCCATGAAGCTCTCTACGCACTGCTGTTGTGCTAATCTGAAGGCCACACGAAGTTTGGAGGTCTTTAGCTATTGACTCTGCAGACAGTTGGCAACTTCTGCGCCCAGTTGCTTCCACTTTGTTATAATACCACTAACAGTTGACTATGGAATATTTAGTAGCAAGGAACTTCACAGAGGGATTTATTGCACAGGTGGCAACCTATCACGGTACCACGCTTGAATCCACTGAGCTCCTGAGAGTGACCCATTCTTTTGCCGTCTGCATGCCTAGGTGTTTGATTTTATACACCTGTGGCCATGGAGGTGATTGAAACACCTGAATCCAATGATTTGGAGGGGTGTCCCAATACTTTTGGCAATATAGTGCATAATTATATATGTTGTGAGAGCCGTCACCAGATGTGATCTCACCTGGATTACATGACCAAACGTTTGGCACATTGGTGATTAAGACATTGTAAGAGCTGTATTGGGGTCACTACTAACAGGAATGCACAACTGATGTTGGGACTAAACCCACAACAATAAAATCAGTCTACATATGCAGTAAACATGCTTGTTATCCTCACTGTGGAACCTAAGGGGTTAATCCTTTGCATTGTGTAAAAATGCTGTTTGATCCTGTCTTCTCTGATCCTCCCTTTCTTCCAGTGTCCCCATCATATTGTGTGGAGTCACTCTGCACATGCTCAGTTTGTGTATTGCTAGAGAGGTTGTTTTTTTTTCTTGGGAGAGTGTATGTGATTAGCACAGGGCCAATCATCACTGTCCAGACAGAGGTCAGGTGTTCTGCATCTTCCTAGAGCAGAATGAACACTCCTCCTACAAGCTTTCACCAGTGCTCTGCTGAACACTGATAGAAGTCACAAGACTGCTCTAGCTGCTAATGAGAAAAGGTATTTAGCAGTTTATATTTACTAAAATAATTGCACTTCCATGATCTGTGTACTGTGGGAGACCAGATATAGTGAATGAGGGGTCCTGGGTTTAGTAACACTTTCAATACATATTATTGGCATTGGACTGTTGGATGTCAATTGCACAACTATAGTTCATAGTTTGCTTTATGTGTTAATTATTGCACTTATATGTATAGTGTATGTTTTTTAATACATTTTTTATTTGTTTGTTGTGAAACGTGGCAGTAATTTAGGAGTATATTTTGATTGATTAACACACACAAATGCGGGAGTGCGCACAGTGTGAGAGATTCACATTTAACACTATAATCAATCATAGCAGCTCACAAGGTTCACTGTATTTATCCTCTTCTCGGGTCCCCATCCTGTGCTACTGGCCCTTTCCTCTCTGGTAATTGCCCCATAGGAAGCCAATTCCTTTGTGGGCACTTGTGCAGACTCACTCCCAATACACCCTGTCTGTGTCAATAGACAGCTCGGGCCTGACCCCGCTCCTACATCACAGGATTTGATTGACTGCAGGAGGAGTCCAATCTGCCCAGAGAGGAGGGACAGAGCCAGGAGAGCCTTTACTCTCATGCACAGTGCTGGATCAAGAATGGACTCAGGTGAGGGGCAAATTCTGTTACACAGAAGGTTTTTCTTACCTTAATGCATTGAATGCATTAAGGTAAAAAATCTTTAGGCTTTAGAACAACTTTAAAATCACACTCACACCACTTTTTTCCGAGGCAGTGCATCAAAACACATATAGTGCATTACTGTGCAATGTGATGTGCTGCAAGGCACGTCAGAGGTATATTGCATTGGCGTGTTGGGATGCCATTCATAATGCAGTATGTGCATTTCTGTAGGGCATGTTAAAGTGCGCATATTACCACAACATATATGCGAAGCCTGCATTAAAGTAAGTCCATATGGACCATCTGATCCAGAAACTCTGTAACATTTGCTGGGGAATCTGTAAGACAGTTCAATCCCTTTGTCTTCATTGGGTACAGAACAAATGCAGAAGGCAGATTCCACCGCCACCCTCCACAAAAGACTGTTCATAGAACACCTTCAGGTGCCTGCTTGCAGCTTTTTGTTTATTTTCAGTGTGTGCTAGGGGCCCGTAAGACAAGGAATCTTTTTTTTTCCAATGGTCAGAATGTTGGCCCATTCCTTCTACCTCCCAATTTTTTGGGGGACGTAAATGGTCTAATTGTGTCAGGGTGCTTCAAAAACTGCAGATCTGCATATACGCATCTTTCCCAGAGTCAAGAAATATAGAAGAATTGTCAGTTTGTTAAATTTCAAGGTTTTAATAACTCCTTCATTATAGTTGTATATACATAATATAAATAGTTCATGACTATTACCTGTTCTCCTATTTTCACAGGTTTGAACCGCTTGCTTTCAAACTGCACCTATGAAGCTTCATTTCCTTTACATGAGGTACAAGTTAAACACACAGGGGAAGATTTACTAACACCGGTGCACACAGAATCTGGTGCAGATAGTAACCAATCAGCTTCCAAGTTTTAGTCACACTTGTGCGATTTCAGGTGTGATGTGCAAATTGAAATCGCACCTGAAATCACATCTAATGAATGGTAATTCAGTGTCTTAACATGTGCGATTTGCTGCAGTGTGATTTCTAATGTAGTTTTTGCATTACTTTTTCTGGAGTTTTGGTGCAATTTCACATACATACAATATAATGGAAATCACACTGAAAATTAAAATTGTTGAAAATCTTCACAAGTAGCAATAAGGTCTTCAGAAATCGTACCTGAAATTGCGGTGAAATTGCACACAAATTGTGCGATTTAAAATCGCAGCTGTGTGACTGGTGACTTATTGTCAAAGCTTAATTGAACAAGGTGAAGCTAGAAGCTGGTTACTATGCACAGCTACACCAGATTCTATGTGCACCAAATTTAATACATCCCCCCCACAATTCTCAAATAATTTAGGCATATTTTCTATAAATCATTAAATTGACTGTTTGGCAAAATGTTATTTTATGTTGTATATTTTTTTTGAGTGGGGCTTATCTGTCTGAAACAATGAGTTGTCAAGTAAAGTGGACTGTGTGTCCTCCATTATTCATAGGAAACTTGAAAAATCATGTATTTTATTTAAAGAGAATTAGTTTGGATAACTACCATTACTGACTAATTTTTCAAAGGTGCATCCTTACGTTTTTTGCTTCACAACCTAATACAATGGAGTTGTATTACTAAAGATAAGAAGACTGTGCACTTTGCAAGTGCATTGCAGTTGCACTCTGCAAGTGCAGTTGCACTTATTTTCCTTGGTAAATGTAATGTGGTATGGCTTTACTTTGTAAATAATACCTGATCAGGTGCAAGGAAAATATAAAAAAAGGATTTTTGCTTGCACTTGATTGGATGATGGAAATCAGCAGAGTTTACCACATTTACTAAGCTGAGGAAAATGAGTGCAACTGCACTTGCAAAGTGCTCAGTCTGTTTGCCTTTAGCAAATCAACCCCATAGTCAGATTCTGCTTTACTTTCATTATATGTTCCCTTTGCATTATCTATCATCTGTAATATCTATAACTATTCTAATAAAGTAAACCTGGAATATGGGGCTGCCATGGCTGACTGCATTCTAAAAATGCTATTGTCTGGCTGTTATGGTTTCCCACCGACTTCATTTCGATTTGAGTCAAAATTATGGAGATCGTGATAGTCAGAAAAAAGTTAGACATCCCACATACTTGTTATTGAAGAAAAAGTGTCAATGTGACACAAACAGGCAACATGATAAATCAACAATGACAGCCTCCATGTTTATGGTAGGAAAAAAGTGCTAAACATAGCAACACAGCCAATGACCCATGTGTATATATGCAGCCAAAATGTTGCCTTATGAAGTAACCCCTGTGTTCCTAGTGGAAATTCTCATGCTTTCCAGTTAACAAACGTGAATCCTCTTTCTGATCTGCATTTAAGGGAAGCTATAGAAGTAAGAACTCAATAAAGACTCATGGAGCAGACAATCATCGTCACCTTCTTTTTGAGTGTTGGGCCTCCTGGGGAGTGTGGTATAAATATCAGCCCCTGGATCTTGTACGGTGAGTTCTTGTGAATATGTAGCATATGCTACATAACTGTTTTTGCCTTTTTTTCCTTTTTCAGCTTTCTAACAAATTGGAGACTATTCATGCTAGTTTGAGATTACCGTACTCTCAAACTAGCATGAAGAGTATAAGTGTGCTAGAGATATTAGATTGTGAGCTTCCTTGTGGGACAAGGACCAAAATACAGTGCTGCATACAGTAGTATGTCAGTTCTATATAAATAGTGGAAATAAATATACACAACCACAAATGTTCAAATTCTGCTTGTTTTACAGGGGAAAAAGAAAAATATAATAATAATAAAGATAATAAAATAATAATAATAATAAAAATACAATAAGTATTTTAATTACCATACATTTGCATTGCATTATTATTACACAATATGAGAGCATACGAAGGTAAAATAGTTCATACATCTAGGTAACTGACCCTTTTGTGTCCAAAGAACCTCCATTCCAACAAGCAAACTTTAACATTTAATACAACTGATGTTTCATCAGCCTTACAACCAGAAAGAAAAAAATATAAATATATACACATTTATAGTTCAGTTTTGCTGCTTTGTCTTACACCAGTGGTACTCAACCTTCCTAATGCTGTGACCCTTTAATACAGTTCCTCATGTTGTGGTGACCCCCAACCATAAAATTATTTATCCAGTAATTATAATTCATGAAGTGTCGTTTTACCTCCAATACTGCTGCTTTCAACACAGTAGCTGCTTTTAACAGAGTAGCAGCTTTCAACACAGCAGCTGCTTTCTACACAGTAGCTGCTCTTTACACATCGGAAATATGTCTTAGGCGACCCCTGTGAAAGGGTTGTTCGACCCCCAAAGGGGTCGTGACCCACAGGTTGAGAACCACTGCCTTACACCACGAAAAGGTATGCTTTAATTATGTTTGACTATGGAAATTATACTCTAAACCAGTGGTCTCCAAACTGCGGCCTGGGGGCTGGATGTGACTCTTTGCTTACTTTTATCTGGCCCTTCGAGCACTATTCCTCCCACTGATGCCAACAGCAGGGCATAAATCCTGCACTGCAACCAACGATGGGGAACTATTCCTTCCACACACACCAAAGATGGGGCACTATTCCCCTCAATACTAAAGACAGAATACTGTTTACTCCCACTCTGTTTGCTCCCCTTAAAGCAGAAAGCCAGGCAAAAAATGTTTTTAATCATGCAGTGGGGCTGTGCCCACACTGCATGTAGCCCATGCAGTGTAGGCACAGCTCCACTGCATGGTTCAAAAACATTTTTGTTCATTTTTGTCTAGGGGTGATAACAGTGAAGATATACTTACCAAATCTGCCCATCCTCACAGTGCAAGACTGGTCCTTGCCGATTCTGCCCCCCTGCACTCTAGCGGTCTTGTGAATTAACTGTTCTTTATGTCATCATGCCCATAGACCAGCTTCAGGCGTGAGGACGGCAGGAACAGTCCACCACTAGACGTGAGGGAATGCGGTTTTCTGGGGGATCGAAGGACAGGGTAAGTATAGCTCTTCCCTAAACCCCTGGACAAAACAAACAGTTTTCCCATGCAGTGCAGGCACAGCCTCACTGCATGGGAAAATAAAAAATTTACATGGAGTTCTGCTTTACGTCTGAAGAACAGTAAGCCAGCCCTTTGTTTAGAAAGTTTGGAGACACCTTCTCTAAACTAAATGCTTTCGAATGATAGGGTTGTGGCTCTTCATACTGGCCAAGGGTCCATTCACCTGCTGCTTTTTCTCTTCTAGCTTCAGAGGGAAAAATATGAAAGTACACCTATGTTACATTATATATGTGAAATGAACATTTTGATGAGAACATTATGAAGTAACTATATGAGGGTTAACACAGGTAAAATAGATCTTACATCTTGGTGAACTGACCCTATTATGTCTAAAGAATCTCCATGCCAAAAAGTAAACTTTAACATTGGACACAATTGATGTTTTATGAGAGTTGTGGCTCTTCATAGTGGTCAGTGGTCTTCATGCCTGCTGTATTTACTCATTTAGTTTCATAGGGAAATGGTCGTTATGCCTGCTGCAATTTTTTCTTCTAGTTTCATAGGGAAATGGTCGTTATGCCTGCTGCAATTTTTTCTTCTAGTTTCATAGGGAAATGGTCGTTATGCCTGCTGCAATTTTTTCTTCTAATTTCATAGGGAAATGGTCGTTATGCCTGCTGCATTTTTTTCTTCTAGTTTCATAGGGAAATGGTCGTTATGCCTGCTGCATTTTTTTCTTTTAGTTTCAAAGGTCAACAATGTTGATGCCTGCTGAAGTTTCTCTTCTAGCTTTCTATCTTTATACCAAAAGAACGAATATGCCACAGACCCCTATTTACAAACTTTAATTTGACTTTATTTCCTGTGCCTTTATTTCTCTTCCAGAACAACAGCACAAATATTTCTGGTCACTCCTTTTTCCAGCTAATGTATGTTTCTTTTATGGCTTTGTGTGGTAATCTACTGTATGCTATAATAACCACAGGTTATGAAGCTCATACATTGGTCTTCATATTTGTGTCCCTTACAGGAGATATTTTGGTGAGAAGATAGGCCTCTATTTTGCATGGCTGGGCTGGTATACAGGAATGCTGTTCCCAGCAGCAATAATTGGATTATTTGTGTTCCTGTATGGAATGTTTACACTGGATAGCTGCCAAGTCAGGTAATCCTTTTTTTTCTGAATTGTTACACATGATTTTTAATATGTTTGCTAAGACAGACTAGGGCTAGCCATACTTTATGCAATTTTTGTTTCCTTCGACCATGAGTTGAATCAGTCCTACATTTTTATTGTGTTCTCCTTGCAGGTAGCTTTCCCCACCAGAAAAATTTAATGATCACTGCTGGCTGCTATACCAAAAATACTCAACAGGCTGGTTGTACTGAAGCCGACTGATAAATCAACTTCAGTACAACCAGCCTGCCCATAGATGGGTTGAAACTTGTCCAAATTGGCCAAATTTCGATCCGTTTATGGTCAGCCTAAGTTAAACAAATTTGCAAAGTGCCAGCAATGTGCTCATATATCATTCACTTTGAGCAGATTCCTGTATTATCTATTATAACTTTAACCCTTCAATGTTTTTTTTCCTGTCTGTGTCAGAGTGAGCATTGCAACCTCAAAATTAGGAATGTAAACTCAATGGGGTTGATTTACTAAAACTGGAGAGTGCAAAATCTGTGTAGCTCCGCATAGAAACCAATCAGCTTCCAGGTTTTAATGTCAAGCCTTGATTGAACAAGCTGAAGTTAGAAGCTGATTGGCCACCAGGCACAGCTGCACCAAATTTTTCACTCTTCAGTTTTAGTAAATCAAGCCGATAATATGTTTAGATACTGAGACTATTCAGACTATATTTTGACAAACACAGTGTACAAAACTAGATGCAGGTCCTGATTTTGTTTAAAGAGAGCTGGGGCATTTGGTGAACTGGCGCACTAGGTATATGTTTGTAAGTTTCTCTTGGTGATGATCAGGGGTTTTCCATCAGGCTGAAAATCCAGAAGGCTACAGTCATACCTAAATATTTTACTGGAGGGAATTAAAAAAAAACCCTGCTAGCTGTATCCCTTCTGTAGTTTCAATCAAAACATTCCATCTATAGGGATGATTAGTAACCCATGTAAATAAAACACTTTTAAAACATATCACTCATTGCAGCAACACTGAAAGAAAAGTGCAGAGGTGTGAATCTACCCTTAAATCTTGGGACTTTGCTTTTTGATTTTTCTGTTGCTACTAAAACAAGAAAGATGTAGAGATGCCTAGCAGAGTTTGGCATCTTGCCTGGTTATGGAGTTTGCCCACTGCTGAATAAGTTCAAAACAATTGAAGAGAGAACGAGAGTGAAATACAGACAGCCTATACTAAGACTGCAATAGCTACCTTGTGCATTTTTCATAGAAAGCACTAAGAATATATCAGTGTGGCTGTATAAACTTTCCCTACTGCTCACCATCCAACAAAGGATTGCAGATGGGATGATAACCAAGGTAACAAGTCATCTGTTATGTAACTCAGAAAATGGGGCTGATAATAGTATGGAAAATTGTGCTGCTGATAAACCCTAGTGCCATTTTTGGACCCTAAGACCCAGGTGTATGTGTAATATGATTTATTCCTGCTACATTCTCAATTAAAAAAGAGAAGAGAACTATGATTCCAACTTTATGAAATACCACTACTAATATCAATACTCACAGAATTCACTCATAGGATCTGTAATTAAAATGGACCTCCAGACAGAGCCTTTTCTTATTTCTGTTACATTATCACGAGAGCTGCAGCTTACGCTAGTGTTGTTTATCCGCCCCTCCTCTTCCTTTGTTCACAGGACTTGTATTTTATGAACAGTTCACAGAATACAAGACACAGCCATACTGGGATGGAAATATAGTGAAAGCTTTGCTATCCAGTATGAACAAAAATATGATTTTTGATGATTTGGACACGGAATAAACATCAGTAGGGGTAACTTTTTTTTTTAAGAGTGAAAATGAGAAAAGTCTAAGAAAAGTACCTGGAGTTCCAATTTAAGCACTTATTGCAACAAACCTTTATTAGTAGTAAGGCCTTATGCACACTGGGCAGAAAAAAATGCCCTTACATGTGTTTAGCATTTTTTTCTGTTAGTGCTTCTTTATGTTAGCCTATGTGTCCATGCACTCATAGGCATTTACAGGCCTTTTAGAGGAGCATATCACCAGCGCATTTAGGAGAGGAGCATGTGAGCATAAAGAAGCTTGATGTACGTAAACACGTATCAACACACCTAAATGCGAATAAACACTAGATGCATTTAGTGCTTGAGCATTCATTCATTCATTCCAATGGCTAGAAAAATTTCATATTGTGGCCAATGGAATCCATAAACTCTCAAGCACTGGAAGAGCCTAAACACGTGTGCAAAATGCAGTTTAAGGCGTGTTTTTAGGTAGTTTTTTCTTCTTCCAGTAGAAAAGATGTTCAAGAGAGCTAAGTAAGTATTCAGTGTGTATGAGGCCTAATAATGAAATGACCTTTTCGAAGAAGAACTATTTTATATATTGCAGCAACACAATTAAAAGGCTGTCAGTACTTATAGTGATACAGAATATTTGCTTTCATAGTTATCAGCTGAAAGGGCGTAAAGTTTAAAAACCTTAATTTTATCCAGATTTGTTTGCTAAATGCTATTGCTACTAGCATAAATCTCTGTGCAGCTGAACAGTGTGGGGTCCCATAGCTGTTACATGGTCTGCTATGCCTTTATTCACACTCTTGGAGTCAGTAGTTAGCTTTGAATGTTTGTAATAGGTTTGCTGCCTACAGCAAAGGGAAGCAAAAAAGCCATGCACTTCAGATCAGAAATCTTATATATGTTAACATTTTAGGAATACTTGTAGCTGATATATTTATTTTTTTCTATTACATTCTATAAAAGACATTTCTACATAGCATGTACAGTATGTGTTTTCTTTTGTGGTAACACATAGAAATCCGCAATAATCACAGTTGTGGGTATGCACTTAAATTGACACAGCTACAGATTTCTGGAAGCGGTCTGAGCCCAGTGCTCCTAATTCAAGAGATATAACACACAAGATGAATGATATGGAATCCTGGACATAAACCTTATTATCACTTCAAATTAATTTATTTTACAATGGATTTTATTATAGACAACACAACATCAAAGAAACAGTCAAAAGCAGGATCACTGACACAAATGAACAAGATATACAGTTCTTCTGATGAAAGACATAACAAATGCACTGAGGTATTGACAAAGATAGAAACTGAGTACATAATCACAATACATAAAGAGATGGAATGCAACCTTATAAATTGCATTAATAGTAGAGATGAGCGAATTATTCAAAAATTCGATTCGGCTGATTCGCCGAATTTGCGGAATAAATTCGATTCGATGCGAATTTATTCGCTGCGAATTTAACTTATTAAAAGGGTTTCTAGGCTTCAGAGAGCCTTTATATTAGTGCAGAACACTGTACCTTTAATTTAAATGCCCTTGGAGTCTGCTGGGGAAGAGAAATAATACTGTCAGTCAGTATGACATGCAGATGAGTGCCGTCGATCTTAGAATCACCGCACACTTCACTCATTTGGGCAGTCACGGGGCACGACGAAGAAGATGAAGAAGAAGGTGAAGAAGAAAGAAGAAGATGAAGAAGAAGAAGAAGATGAAGAAGAAGATGAAGATGAAGATGAAGAAGAAGAAGATGAAGAAGAAGATGAAGAAGAAGAAGAAGATGAAGAAGATGATGATGAAGAAGATGATGAAGAAGAAGATGATGAAGAACATGATGATGAAGAAGATGATGAAGAAGAAGATGATGAAGAAGAAGATGATGAAGAAGAAGATGATGAAGAAGAAGAAGAAGAAGATGATGAAGAAGAAGAAGAAGAAGATGAAGAAGATGAAGAAGAAGAAGAAGAAGAAGAAGAAGAAGGAGGAAGAAGAAGAAGAAGAGATGAGGATAAGAAGAAGAAGAAGATGAGGATGAAGAAGAAGATGAGGATGAGGATGAAAAAGAAGAAGAAGAAGAAGGATAAGAAGAAGAAGAAGAAGGAAGAAGAAGAAGAAGGATAAGAAGAAGAAGAAGAAGAAGAAGAAGAAGAAGAAGAAGAAGGATAAGAAGAAGAAGAAGAAGAAGAAGAAGAAGGATAAGAAGAAGAAGAAGAAGAAGAAGAAGAAGAAGAAGCAGAAGGATAAGAAGAAGAAGAAGAAGGATAAGAAGAAGAAGAAGAAGGATAAGAAGAAGAAGAAGAAGATGAGGAAGATGAGGATGAGGATGAAGAAGAGGTAGGATGAAAATAAGAAGAATTCCAGTTCAGCAAAAAGTGTATCTGCAGAGAGCTCCGCTATTTCTGACAGTTCTCTGACAGTTCCTTCACATTTACAGCGGTTGAAACATTGTATCTATTTGTTTCCGAATAAAAACATCTGTATCCTAAATGGAAACAAATAGATACAATGTTTCAACCGCTGTAAATGTGAAGGAACTGTCAGAGAACTGTCAGAAATAGCGGAGCTCTCTGCAGGGACACTTTTTGCCGGCTGTAGAAGGGATGAAAATCGGCCGATCGGGAAAAATTCGATTCGTGCATCCGAAGTTTGCTAATTTTCGGAATTTTTCCTAATCGAATTTTTCCTAATATTCGAAACGAATTCCACTTCGCCAAGTTCGATTCGCTCATCTCTAATTAATAGCAAACAAACACTTCAAATTAATTTCACTCTGTATGCACTCAGAACATTTAAGTTAAGCTCCCCTTTAGGATCCTTGGCTGTTCCTGGCTCACTTGCTGTAAACATTATTTCATTGTAGGTAACTAAACCTCTCTCATGACCAGGAATCTTTAAAAGCACAGGTTTCTCCATGGAAAATATAATCAGCAATATACAGATATGTCATGAATATGGGTGAATTATCTGGATCCTTATTGATAAGACCATAGGACCATCAAACTCTAGGGAGTACCCATTCTCCACTTCAAACCTCTCAGGGGTGGCTGGATTGGTTTATGATACTTGTTGCACCTCCAAGATTTGTGAAAAAGACAGTCAAAAATTTGGCAGGAGGTTAGAGTATGCTGCAGATAGGCAGGTGGACAGGTCAGGGACCAACCTGTGGTACTAATTATGATAATTAGGCATAATACTAAAGCTTACTACAACCAACAGGGCTCTTTTGGTTATACTACGTACAATGATAAAGCGCACTCAGTAACCTGGTGACTTTACAGATTTCTGCCACCAAGGGCCGACTGACCATTTGGAAACTTGGCCACTGCCCGAGGGCCCGGGGTCAGTAGGGGGCCCCATGAGATGCCCATGGTACCTTTTTCATAGGCTTTTTTGAGTTTGGGCAAGGACACAGGGGCCCCATGATCCCCTATTGCCCGGGGGCCCCATGAGTTGTCAGTCTGCCCCTGCCTGCCATTTGTCCAACTAAAAAGTGAGAGCCATGGAGTGAGAGCTGGGGAGAAGAATCTAACCAGCACAGCCTCTGTGATTTTAGAGTCATTGGAACATTAAAATACCTTTCAAACCCAATGTGATAGAAATATGGGGGTTGCCATTGATAACCAACTTTGAAAAATGGCAATTTACTGTTTTTTATGCTAGCTCTGTGGCCCTAAAGCTTTTGGAGTCATTGCATCAAATATCCAATATAGTGAATGCTAGAATAAAAATTTTAAGTCCTTATATTGCAATAGTACTTCATACTTGTTCCAGGTCATTGATTAACAAAACAGTCAATTAGCATTTTCAGAAGGAGAGATCAGCAATGGCAGTTTTCCTTTTTGATATAAAGAAGCTGAAATGTATTACAGTACCCTAAAGACATTACAGTATTCAGGCTCTAGGAGGCTATTGTAATTGAATCTGCTGATGACACTTTGTTTCATCTCCACGGTGATCATGTAAAGTACCTCATTATATTTACTCATTTTGATAGCATAGAAGTCTACCGTTTAACCTCTGTTGAACTAAACTTTGATATATTAGCTCTGTACTCGTGACTCAGCAAGGTGCTCTCCTCATTTCCAGTATAAGAAGCAGTGGGTGGCTGGATTACAACAGTTTCTTTTCATTTCATACTGAAGCAGTTATGTGCCCATTGTACTTCATGTAGCAATTGAGAAAAAGTAGAGCAAGCCATGTATAGCAAATTACACTTTTGAGTATATCCTGATATGATCACAAAAGAACCTTTGTGTGATGTGATCTCAATTAGATTTAAGTCAGAGCTTTAAAACCCTTCAGGATAAGAGTTTACTTTCCTCCTCTTTAAATAATAATTAAAGTTTTAAACCTTTACCCAAACTGTAATTCTTCTTCATGTCACTTTAACACCATGTCTTGCATAACAGAAGAAATTTAAAATTAAGTTAACAGTGTAAATGAAAACACTGTTTGCTGAGTTGTGAAGAGATGAGGCAGGCAGTAGGAGGAAATGACAACTCTGGTCTTGATATATATATATATCAGGGACGGACTGACCATTTGGAAACCTGGTCACTGCCCGAGGGCCCGGGGTCAGTAGGGGGCCCCATGAGATGCCCCTGGTACCTTTTTCATAGGCTTTTTTTGACTTTGGGCAAGGACACAGGGGCCCCATGATCCCCTATTGCCCAAGGGCCCCATGAGATGTCCGTCCACCCCTGATATATTATTATATATATTTATATATATATATATATATATATATATATATATACAGTATCTCACAGAAGTGAGTACACCCCTCACATTTTTGTAAATATTTTATTCTATCTTTTCATGTGACAACACTGAAGAAATGACACTTTGCTACAGTGTAAAGTAATGAGTACACAGCTTGTATAACGGTGTGTAAAAATTTGCTGTTCCCTCAAAATAACTCAAAATATATGGGAAAGGGATCTAAGAACTTACTTCAAGATCACCAACACAAAAAGTATTACAGGATAAAAAGGATTAGGAACGAATGGTATAGGGTGGCCTCTCGGTAAATAATCAAAAATGCAAATGTCTAAAATATCAAAATGTTTATTTATAAAATTCTCATTAAAAAAATAAATACATTTTATATATATATATATATATATATATATTTTATAATATATATACATAAAAAAGGGGATTACAATCAATATGAATCATACTGTATGACCATGCATAGCAAAGACTTTATATATTTATAAAAGCAGTACCCACTTTGGGGACTATATGGAGGAATGTACTTATTGATTATTCTAATTTTGTCTTTGTATGCTCTTTGTAATTTCATAGAATCAACCGAAAAATTACACGTTTTATATGTCATATAGGAATATGAGATCCTGAAGAAGCTGTTTCTGACCACGAAATGCGTTGGTAGTGTAACCTATGACATTGCTGCTTTTATAAATATGTAAAGTCTTTGCTATGTATATGGTTATAGGATTCATATTGATTGTGAACTCTTTTTGTATGGGTATACTGTATATATTTCTTATGAGAATTTTGTAAATAAACTTTTGATATTTTATACATTTGTATTTTTGATTATTTACCACCCTAGACCACCCGTTCCTGATCATTTCTATCCTGTGACAACTCGGATCTTACTAGATTTCCAATACTTCCTCTCAAAGCTTTGTATGTTTTGCCCTGGGTAGGGTTCAGATATTCTTAGGTAGGCAAATGGAGTTCAGGGCAGGCAGAGTTAAAGCAAAATATCATTCTCTCAATCAACATTGACTATTTAGAATCTTTTTGTTGTTAGCATTACTACACGGGAAAGTATATCATATTTACTTGTTTTAAAACTTTTTTTTTTACATTTCTTCAGTTAGTTACAGTTTTCCAGGCCTAAGCAAATTATGTAATACATCCCAGGAGTCTTTAGGAGGGGAGGAGGGGTTTCCTCTCCTAAGCACAACCTCCTGCCTGCATGCCCAAGCGAAGGGCAGATGGATTCCAAGAAGTAAATGCTACATGAATAAATCAATGTAATCAAGATGGTTGTGGCCAGAAATGCTATGGGTTTTTTTTCAAAGTGATTTCTCAGCAAAATATAGCATGAAGATATGGATGAATGATTGAATTTGAAAATAAAAAATGAATTAAATAGTGATATATACAGCATCTATGACACTAATATAGCTCAAAGATGGCTGTGCAATAATATGTTTTTTTTTTGGAATGCTGGATCTATTTTATCTGCCTGAAAATAGAATTTACTTTATAATCTGACTGAGTGCTGAAATTTCCCTTCTAGTGTATAAATTGTCTATGGTGTCCTGTTTCATGTGTTACAGCAGAGAAATCTGTGAAGCCACAAATATTACTATGTGTCCATTGTGTGATAAATATTGCCCGTTTATGAGGTTATCAGACAGCTGTGTCTACGCCAAGGTAATAAATGTTTCTCTGTGTAACTCAAAATATGTATATATTATTATTATACAGGATTTATATAGCGCCAGCAGTTTACACAGCGCTTTACAACATAAGGGGCAGACAGTACAATTACAATAAAATGTAATACAGTAGGAATCAGGGGGCCCTGCTTGTTAGAGCTTACGGTCTAAGAGGGAGGGTCAAAAGATACAAAAGGTAATAACTGTGGGGGAAGAGCTGATGGAGAAAAAAAAAAGTACAGTTGTTAGGTATAGACGGGATAGGTTTATCTGAGGAGAAGGGTTTTCAGGGATCGTCTAAAAGTGGACAGAGTAGGAGATAGTCAGGACAGATTGGGATAGGGAGTTCCAGAGGATGGAGAGACTTGGGAGAAGTCCTAGGGGTGAGCATGGGAGGAAGTAACAAGGGTGCTAGAGAGCAGGAGGTCTTAGGAGGAACGAAGAGAACCATTGGGTTGGTATTTTGAGACTAGGTTAGTGATGTAGCTGGAGGTTGTGGATGACTTTGTAGGTTGCTGTTAGCATTTGAATCAAATTTTTTGGGTGGACGGAAGCCAGTGGAGGGATTGGCAGAGAGGGGTAGTAGAAGCTGAGCAGTAGTCAAGATGAGAGATGACCAGGGAGTGGACTAGGAGCTTTTTGGTGTCATGGGTTAGAAAGGAGCCTATTTTAGAGATGTTTTGGAGGTTAAGGCAGCAGGCTTTGGACATTGATTGAATGTGGGGCCGAAAAGTTAGTTCAGAGTCCAGGATTACACCTAGCATCTTAGCATGCAGGGATGGGTTGATATGTGAGCCATCAATCTTGACAGAGAAGTCAGGGGAAGGGGCATGTGGGGAAGGAAATAATATGAGGCTGGTTTTGGGTGGAATGAGTTTGAGGATGTGGTGTGACATCCAGTCTAATATGTCTATTAGTAAATAAGTGATGTGTGCAAAGGCTGATGGAGTGAGCTGAGGGGTAGAAAGATAGACTTGGGTGTCATCAACATAGAAATTTAAGTTATGTAAGTTATACTGTATGTAATCTTATAAAAAGTTATATGTAATAATATAAGTTATTATGTTAGTTAGGTTTGATGGTTACCTCTGATATGTTGTAGCACTGTTCTGGGTTCAAATATAACTAGTTGCCTAGCTTCAGATTTTCTACATTGCCTAGTTCACTCCAAGTGCTCTTGTAGCTCCACTTAGGCATCAATAAGCACCATAGATCACTATACATATATATGGGCCAAGAAAATTTGCACAAATTGGCCCTCATTTCTTAATATGTGAAAATACCTTGTGGTTACATTAAAAATGTAATTTCCCTTGCACATGGCTATATGAATTTAACACATCCCTGTACTTCACACTTTAGAGCAGGGATGTCAAACTGGTGGCCCTCCAGCTGTTGTGAAACTACAAGTCCCATCATGCCTCTGCCTTTGGGATTCATGCTTGTAACTGTCAATCCAGCAATGCCTCATGGCACTTGTAGTTTGGCAACAGCTGGAGGGCCACCAGTTTGACAGCCATGCTTTAGAGGATCAGGCTCTTTGAGTCTGTATATGACTGCCCAAATCTGAAGTGTCACTGTCATTGCCAAGTACTTAATTCTTGTGCATAACATACAATTGACATGTCTGACACAACGACAAGTTAGTAACATTATTGCTGTACATATTGTAGGCTAGACTAGAAATCATATATCAGCAGCTATAAGCTGGCATTCATATGTAGCATGCTCCAATGATATCAACAAGCCTTAGGACATTGTTGAAAACCTTGGAGCCAGCTTGTTCTGTTATGTGAAAAAAGTGTATGCTTGAATGTCCTTGTTGGTATACCAATAGGAAAACATGTTTATGTCAAAGGATACTTACCTAAATTAGAATACGCCTATAATGATCTCCTTTGATTATGTTTTAGGTAACCCATCTTTTTGATAATGGAGCAACTGTCTTCTTTGCAGTGTTTATGGCAGTTTGGGGTAAGTATAATTCATCAAGGTAATCCTAATTCCAAAACTGTGATACTGTTGAAGAAAACACATCTGTAAATTTGTCTTGATTACATAATCAATATTCATATCTAAATAACACTGAACACAAGATTGCTACTGTATGTGATTGAATCTTTCTTTGTAGTAGCTTTCTGTACTTCCCTGCTCACTGGAATTCAGACTTTGAGAAGGAGGACCATTGTTTAACTTTTTCCCTTGAATTCAGATGTACCATGATTAAATTGTGCAATTTTTAAGAAATGTCTTCCTTTGTAATCAAAAGCAGCATATTTTACCTTTTACCACGTCTGTTTTCTTTCCTTGACCTTCCCTTTTATATGCTATATAATAACAGTATAGATTAGGTCATGACAGTTAATGGATCATTCCTGGCACCCACTTGCCTGGTGTAAGATCTCCACAATTCAAAATGCATTTCCCTCTTCATTTCTTGAGTGTCTTTCATGTTTTCAATAGGGATGATGGGTTTGTGTGCTGTGACCCTTAGACTGTAGGCTGTAGGACTCTATAAAATCTAGCTTAGAAAAAAAAGTACAGATTCAAGTACAAGGGAGGTATCTTTTTATGTGTTTTTATATTGTCATAAATGAATATAATTATATTTTTTACATTTTAGCAACTGTTTTTCTGGAGTTTTGGAAACGAAGAAGAGCGGTGATTGCCTATGATTGGGATTTAATAGACTGGGAAGAAGAAGAGGTAAAGGTTACAGTTTTTACTAGCAGACATTGTACACTCACCGAACACTTTATTAGGTACACCCGTTCAATTTCTTGGTAGCACAAATTGATAATCAGCCAATCACATGGCAGCAACTCAGTGCATTTAGGCATGTAGACATGGTGAAAACAACTTGCTGAAGTTCAAAGCAAGCATCAGAATGAGTCAGGCATTTTTTTTGCTGGCTAATAGCTAAAAAGAGTGGGAAATCTGAGTGGAGAGTGAAAGATTTTACTTTTGACTGCTGTGAGTGCTGGTGCTTGTAGTTGTTTTATTTTTCTTGGGTCTTGCTAAAAGCTTTTACTTTTTAAATCATATTTTCTGTCACTTTTTAAATAGCAATTTTTTTCTTCCTTTCCTTGTCTTCCTTCAGCCTGCTAATTAAGGGGAGGGGTTAATTGGTCACAGGTGCTACAGGTACTATATAACTTGCTGTAGAGCTCATTCTTGAGCTTGCCTGTATTTTACTTGCTGGACCTTTGACTAAATGGACATTTGATAAGTGGAGTTAAACAACCAGAGTGGAAAACAGGAGATTATAACAGGAGTCTACTAACCTGCAAGTGACAACTGATATTTCCTATTAATATTGTAACTAGGATATGAGTGCTAGCAGGGTTGAAGGTTTTGTGCAGTGCACTGTGTGCCGCATGTATGCAATAATGGAGCAAAAGCTCCAGGATGGATACCGCTGCAACAGATTTGAGCGGGTTGCCCTTCTGGAAACTCGCGTTAGAGATCTGGAGGAGCAAGTTGCAAAACTGGGCAGAACCGACAACTTTGAAAGGGTCTTCTGCTCTCTGAGCAGGTAGCTAATGGGATTGATGTGGAGGGTGGAGGGGCTAATCAGGATTATAAGGTAGGAAGATGGGTTACTGTAATGAGAGGGAGTGGTAGGGGCTTACAGAAAAGGAAGGCTGGACCTGGGTTTGTGCACCCAAACAGATTTGCAAGTTGGGTGAAGATAAGGGGGTGGCAAGCTCAGGGGTGGCATCTCTGGATGTCACTGCTATCCCTAACAGTCGAGGAGAGCAGACCATCTGGGAGGGATGGTGAGGGTAGTGCAGGAAGGCCAAGACAGTTGGTGGTAGTAGAGGATTCTATAATCAGAAGGACTGATAGAACAATTTGTCACCAGCATCGCCTCAACTGAATGGTTTGCTGTCTCCCTGGTCCCATGATTCGGCATATGGTGGACTGGGTTGATAAATTACTGGGAGGGTCTGGGCATGACCCAGCTGTCTTGGTCCATGTTGGCACCAATGACAGAATACATGGAAGGTGGAGGCTCCTTAAGAATCAATTTAAAGAACTAGGCTGCAAGTTGAAGGGAAGGACCTCCAAGGTGATATTCTCTGAAATATTACCTGTGTCATGCGCAACTCAGGAAAGACAGGGGGAGATTAGAGAACTCAATGCATGGCTAAAGACCTGGTGTAAGAGGGAAGGATTTGGGTTTCTAGAGCATTGGACTGACTTTTCATTGGGGTGCAACCTATATGCTAGAGATGGTTTGCACCTAAATGGAAGGGAGTCTGCTGTGCTGGGGGAGAGGTTTATGGGAAGGCTGGAGGAGTATTTAAACTAGGATCGAGGGGGGAGGGAGAATTAGATTATAACGGGGTAGACAGATAAGAGAGGGGTCAGTACGTATTGGTTGGTAGAATGGGGAAAGATGGGGGGGGGGGGGCTATGGCAGACAAGAAGTTTCCCATGTTACAAACAAACCAGTGGAACTGTTATCATTTGTATGAAGATAACAATATGCAAAATACATATGCACAAGGTGTCAATGAATTAAAGTGTTTGTTTACCAATGCGAGAAGTCTGCCAAGCAAAATAGGTGAGTTGGAAGCTTTGGTGTATGAAAGAGAACTATGATTTAATTGGTATTTCTGAATCTTGGAGTCATTCTTCACATGACTGGGTCATTATATTCCTGTCTATGTTCTCTTTCGGAGAAACAGGGTAAATAGGAAAGGTGGTGGTGTCTGTCTCTATGGCATAAGGCCAATGTGGTGCCAATGTGTAAAAAGGGGTCAAAATCTTTACCAAGTAATTATAGACCTGCTAGTTTAACTTCTATAGTTGGGAAGATACTGGAGAGTTTAATAAAATACCACATAGATGAGTTCTTGCTGGAAAAACATTTTTTAAGCAACAGACAGCATGGATTCATGAAAGACAGAAATTGTCAAACAAATCTGATTTCTTTTTATGAGGAGGTGAGCAAAACCTTGGCAGTGGACGTGGTATACTTGGATTTTGCAAAAGTGTTTGACACCGTTCCCCACACAGTCTACAGGCTTGGAATAAATCCGTATGTAAATGGCTAGAAAACTGGCTAAAAGGTTATGCACTTGGGGGCTAGGAATATGCATGCATCATACATACTAGGGGGGTACAACTGGGGGAATCAATGGTGGAGAAGGATCTGGGGTTCTGGTAGATCATAAGCTTAATAATGGCATTCAATGCCAAGCTGCGGTTTATAAAGTGAGCAAAATCCTCTCTTGTTTTAAAAGACATATAGACTCCAGAGAGAGAGATATAATTTTACCCCTGTACAAATCATTAGTAATACCTCATCTGGAATATGCAGTTCAATTTTGGGCACCAATTCACAAAAATAACATTGGGGAACTGGAGAAAGTACAGAGAAGGGCAACCAAACTGATAAGAGGCATGGAGGAGCTCAGCTATGAGGAAAGATTAGAGGAACTGAATTTATTCTCTCTTGTGAAGAGGAGATTAACCTCTTGCCGACCGCGCATAGCCGAATGACGGCTTCACCGCGGCCGGCCAGTTCTGGGTGGACGTCATATGACGTCCTCCCAGAACGCGCTCTCCTGCGTGCCCCAGGGGGTGCGCACCCGGCGATCTCCGTGATCGCTGTGTCCTACGGACACAGCTGATCATGTGATGTGGTAAAAGGGCAATCACAGCGGCCTTTTACCACCTGATCAGTGGTGTCCAATGACACGCTGATCAGAGGGAAATGCAAGTGCCGGTTCTCGGCTGCACTTTCCTCACACTGTCAGATCGTGAGGAAAGTACTGCCGAGAACCGGCAGTTGTCAGAGCGGGGATCGGCACCGATCAGCAGGGCACTGATGATCAGTGCCCTGATGATCGGTGCCCAGCAGTGCCACCCGCAAGTTCCGCCCAGCAGTGCGCCCACTAGCTCCGCCCACCCGTGCCCAGCAGTGCACCCACCTGTGCCCAGCAGTGCACCCACCTGTGCCACTCTGCAGTGCCACCTACCTGTGCCCAGAAGTGCCACCTACATGTGCCCAGCAGTGCCACCCACCTGTGCCCACCCACCTGTGCCCACCAGTGCCACCCACCTGTGCCCACCCACCAGTGCTGCCCACCAGTGCCACCCACCAGTGCAGCCCAGCAGTGCTGCCAGTCAGTGCCACCAGTCAGTGCCCAGCAGTGATGCCAGTCAGTGCCGTCTATCAGTACCCATCATCAGTGTCACCTATCAGTGCCGCCTATCAGTGCTGCATATTAGTGCCGCCTATCCGTGACACCTCATTAGTGCTGTCTATCAGTGTCGCCTATCCGTGACACCTCATTAGTACTACCTATCAGTGCCCTTTAGTGCTGCCTATCAGTGCCCATCAGTGCCGCCTATCAGTGCCCATCAGTGCTGCCTCATCAACGCACATCAGTGAAGGAGAAAAAATGCCTGTTTGAAAAATTTTATAATAGAAACAAAGAAACTTTTTTTTTTTTCAAATTTTTTGCACTTTTTTATTTATAGCGCAAAAAGTAAAGCGCCCAGTGGGGAGTAAATACCACCAAAAGAAAGCTCTATTTGTGAGGAAAAAATGATCAAAATTTTTCATATGCGTACAATGTTGCATGACCGCGCAATTGTCAATCAAAGTGCGGCAGCGCTGAAAGCTGAAAATTGGCCTGGTAAGGAAGGGGGTATAAGTGCTCGGTAGGCAAGTGGTTAAGGGGGGAAGGGATGATATGATCAACATGTATAACTACATCAGTGGTTTATATAGTAAACTCAGTGTAGAGTTATTCACCCTGAGGTCATCACAGAGGACAAGGGGGCACTCTTTACGTCTGGAGGAAAAAAAATTAACCTCCAAACACGGAAAGGTTTCTACACAGCAAGAGCTGTGACAATGTGGAATAGACTCCCTCAAGAGTTGGTTTTGGCCAGCTTAGTGGATTGCTTTAAAAAAGTCCTGGATTCTTTATTGGATACGTAGAATATAACTGGTTACTATTTATAGGTAAAGTTGATCCAGGAAATATCCGATTGCCTCTCGGGGGATCAGGTAGGAATTTTTTCCCCTGTAGGAGCAAATTGGATCATGCTTTGCTGGGTTTTTTGCCTTCCTCTGGATCAACTGTGGGCGTAGGATTGTAACTTTTTTTTTTTTATTAATGGTTGAACTGGATGTATTTTTGTCTTTTTTCAGCCAGACTAACTATGTAACTATGCAATGAGGAAGAAAGGGGATTTAGGTGACTTTGAACATGGGATGGTTGTTGGTGACAGGCTGGTCTGAGAATTTCAAAAACTGCCGATCTACTGGGATTTTCATGCACAACCATCTCTAGGGTTTATAGAGAAAAAGAGAGACTATCCAGTGAGCTGCAGTTGTATGGCAAAAATGCCTTGTTGATGTCAGAGGTTAGAGGAGAATGGACAGACTGCTTGCAGCAATATTCAGATGGTAGGGTCAGAATTTGGCATAATCAACATAAAAGCATGGATCCATCCTGCCTCGTATCAAGAGTTCAGGAACTATCAAGGTGTACCTAATGAAGTGGCCTGTGAGTGTATATCCACAATATATGTTGTGAACTAAAGTGAAACAGACTTTTCAAATGAAAGTCAAGAACTACTGCAGTTACTGCAGATATACACATACAGTATGATGCTGCCCAGTAATTATACGAATGTGTTGCCAAACCTAGATAATTCCAATAATTTACTGTATTAGTCTATGAGAGTGAAGTGTATTGGTAGCTACTCCCCATAAGTTTTAGTATCATAATATAACATTCCTTTTAACATGAAAATGCTTTTTTACAGTCTAAGCATGCTACCTATTGACAAAAAATAAAAGGAACACAACAATATAAAACTTGATAGATCACTAACTCACTATAGTTAAGATTTAAAAAATGTTTTTTGTTGGAGTCCTGCTTTAAAAGAAACCAAAAAGTATGTTACTGCTGTTTCCGACCTCTCCTTCTGGAATTGTTACTTGTCTGACAGTCCAGTTGGCTTGAGTGTATCTAAATGTGTATCTGAGTGTATTTGAATTTGAGTGTATCTAAACCCATAGATACCCAATTCAGTATGTGTATAGTGTGTTATCATTAAAATTTGCTCTATATATTGATGAATTAGAATGGTGACAATTACCTTTTTTTTTTCTTTTCTATTCATAATCAGTCATATAATTCCATGCAGTAATTCAGAACCTGCATATGAAATTTGTGGGCGGAGGTCATTTTCAGCATGTGACATGTCATTAACAAGTCACTGCAGTGTTTTGTTTACTTTACTCCACTCTTCATAGGTGCTATGGATTGGTGCTATGTGACTGACAGTGAAAAAAAAACTGTTCTGAATGTAAAGAACATTGTTAATAAAAATATAATAAAAAAATCCTTGATTTTATTTATTTAAAATCAGTATAAAGAATACAAAAAATTAATGACACTGTTCTTAGCCACCCACTTTGACACTCCCAGGGTCATGCAAGATGGCTCAGTGTTTATGATTGACAGTGAAGCTCTTCTTATTTGCTCTCCTGTTTATCCAGTCTACATGGCTATCGGGTGGAATTTATGTTAATTACATCGATAACCAGAGTAGCAATAGGGAAGCGCTCCTCTGTCAATCAAGAACTCTGAGCTGCCGCACATAACATGCAGGAGCCTGGAGCCTCACATGGGGTAGATATATAGTTGACAGCTCATTCATTGAACTTGGTGCACACAAACACAGTGAGACAACAGAGAGCACTGGGAATTGCACATGGAAACCTTCTCGATCTCCATAATTAAGTCCTTTGTGGGGTGAAACATATTGGAGTGGTAGGTGGACAGGTAAGACTATATGTTGTGAATCCTCTATTTAATATATTAAAGCTGGTTTTACATCTCTAATGACATTAGTGTGCGGCCTGTTTATATTTACTTGACTTTAAATGGCTTAGTTCAATCAAGTGTACAAACTCTCAAGGGCCACCAATCAGAATTCACTATTGAAATCAGACCAGTGCAAAATGGATTTTAATTGTTTGCTATGGGTAATTGCACTGAAAGAGGCACTGTTGCAGTGCCCCACCCAGCAGGGTATACATACCCATCACTTCTCTCCTGCTCCATTGAAGCCTTTGTTCCATTGCTGTAATGGAACAGGGCTTTGGGTGTGGGAAAGCATGTGTTCTCCCCATATGACAGTATTTGGATTGAGCAACCAATTGTTAGTCCCAAATAGTGCCACATGGAGGTGGAGCAGTAACAACAGCTACCCTGGTAAGTTGCAATACAGGAGGTTACTCAGAATAGACTCCTGCAGGTGGCTGAGAGGTGGCAAGGGAGCACAGATTTGTCAGTATCCTTTCTGGATGGCTGCGCTATTGGTAGGCATGGTCCCCCCGCCTTTGACAAGCACTGGCAGAACTCACTAAGGAAAGAACTGTGTTAGTGGGAAACATGATATTATCTAGGAAACATTATATTCTCTACTGAATTGTTTCTTTGTGTTATACAAATGTAATTTTTTTTCTTTGTGCTATACAAATGTATTTTTTTTTTCTTTTATCCCTTCAAATCAAGGAAGAGGTTCGTCCTCAATTTGAAGCCAAATACTCCAAAAAAGAGCGGCTAAACCCCATATCAGGAAAGCCGGAGCCTTACCAAGCCTTTGCAGATAAATGCAGCAGACTTGTCGTTTCTGCTTCTGGAATATTTTTTTATGGTTTGTTTTTTTTTGGATGACAATATGTTCTTTTAGAAGAAATAAAGAAAATAGCATGGAAGAAAAAGATGCATAATATAGTTTTATAGCAGAAAAAGAGCGGTCTATAGAAGTTAACCTATCAAAAGTAGCAAATACTCCAGCTGGTCTCAAAGAAGGCCAAACATACCCATGCTTGTCATGATGAGATTTATGTCTATTTATTTAGTTATTTTGCTTGTTTATATACTGGGGTTAGACAAAAAAAATGGAAACACTACATGATTTGCAGGTGTGAAAGTGACCTCATTTTCTGCATTGTGATGTAACATTCTTTTGCTTCCACTGTGTGATGAGACACCTAGCTAACAGGTGGGAAGCCTCACTTAAATCATTCACTGTGTGCGCTGCTAGTAATATGGAGTTGTGTCAGATCTTACTGAGCTTCAAAGAGGATAAATTTTTAGTGCCTGCTTAGTTGGTGCCTCTGTGACTGAAGTTGCCAATTTGTTTGCCATGTCGCGGCATATATAGTTTCCGGGAAAACGTTGTCTGATAAGAATAAGCGTGGTTGAACATGGTAAACTGACCGAAAGAGGCAAAAGGATATTGAGCAGGATTGTGACCCAGTATAAGAAAACAACTGCTGTGAAAGTGACTGAAGAGCTGGATCTTAGTCCCGTGAAGACTAATATTAAGTTCTGCAATCACTTATGCAGCAGTTGTTTTCTTATTCTGGGTCACAATCCTGTGCAATGTGCTCTTGTCTCTTTCTGTCAGTTGACCATATTGACCGTGCTTATGGTTTTCAGATGACGATTTCCCAGAAATCATTATGCTGTCATAACCTTTGATACTGTACCTCACGACATGGCAAATAAATTGGCAACCTCAGTCACAAAGGCACAAGCTAAGCGAGCAGCAACAATTTTCCCTTTTTGATGCTCAGTAAGCTCTGACATGACTCCACATTACCAGCAGCACACGCACGCAGTGAATGATGAAAGTGAGGCTTCCCACCTGTTAGCTAGGTGTCTCATCAATCAGCGGAAGCAAAAGAATGTTACATCACCTCCCCTTTCAACACGAAACATGTTGTCACTTTGAAAATATACCATATAGACCGCGCATAACTGGTGTGACACAGAATAGTTAATTATATTGATAATCATAGTAACCAATAAACATCTATAAAAAACTTTTGGTGCAGTCCCAGTATGTGCAAATAAAGTGCAAACGTGCTGGATCCTTGATAATAAACTCTGTATTAAGGTGATAGGTGCTTCACTGTGCTCAGACTGGTGCCCCACATGGACTTACACTCACCATCATTCTATGACCACCTATCTCTAGGTAGGTCACTAGCGCTTTAATTGGGACTAGCCCAACAATGCCACATGTTGGTACTCTTTCCCGCTGTTCCACGACGTTCCTACTGGTAACCAGTGTGTTATCATCGGGTCAAATTGTAAGTGATAGCCAGTATCCTCCTCTGGGTCTACTTTGATACTAGCACTACTCCTCTCCTTCACAAGCAATGTAGTATGTTATCAGCATAAAAAAAAAAAAAACACCCCATAGTGTAAAACTGTATACTTTAATATTGAGGATAAATAGTTTGGAATAAAACTCACAAAAAAAAAAGTGCCTAAACCCTCGGCACTAAGTGTGTACAGCTCTGTTGATTTGTATTGGATAGATACAGCGTGTGTGTTCCAAAGGGCGGAAGTGACCTTGGCAGAAGTTACGCCATCAAACCTTAACGCGATTCGACCAATAGATCGTCATCAGGAAGGAATGTTGTCACTTTCACACCTGAAAATCATGTAATGTTTATATTTTTTTTGTATTTAGGTTAAAGAAAACCTAAAGAAAATTCTAGTTTCCTGGCAGTCAGGTTGAATCAAAGGTGTTAGTATTTTATGCAGTATTTGAGTGCATGACAGCACTGGATCGGAATCTGTCCGATGGGCTGTCCTTTTGCACTTGGCTGGGCTGTTCAACTCCTGCAGGTGCTGGAAAGATTGCTGTTTCCTCAGACTTGAAGCATTTGTGGGTGTGTGGTGAGGAAATCCTTGAGGGAAGACTCGTGTATGTTAAACATTCCAGACTTTAGAAACAATGTGTTTCAGGAGATTAGAGTTACCCTTTTTTCCGGATTTTAATTCCAGATTTAATGTACACTGTGGAACCACTGTGGTTCTGCTAGGGAGGCTCTGTCCTGGGTTTTCCAGAATGTCACAATTTAAAAAAAAAAAAACAATATTTATATATTTTTAAGGCCACATGGGAGAAAATACAAGCACTCTGCAAAGCCCCAAATCTAGAACAGAGCCTTCCGACTGGTCTCACAGCATACACAACATCTAACATTAAGAGAATAAACTCTCCAGCTCTCCAGGGATCAAATGCCACAGGAAAGCTAGGGGAACCAGGACCAAAATCGCTATGGATAGCCTTTCGGAGATGCTGCCCTCCTCAGATAGGGAAATCAACAACTGAAAAAAAGAGCAAACAGGAGGCGCACACCCCTAATGCATTATCCAAGGTTTATTATAGTAAAAAGGGATGAAAAAATACAAACATAGCATAAATGTACAGCTTAGTAGAATGGCGGAGATGGCCTTAACAATGGCAGGGTGTTTGACTGTCAGTGTGGTCGGCTAGCTGACGTGTTTTCGGGGACGAGTCCCTTTTCTCAGAGCTGATCAACTCTAAGGAAAGGGACTCGCGTCAGATGGCCATCTCCACCATTCTACTAAGCTGTACATTTATGCTATGTTTGTGAGTATTTTTCATTCCTTTTGATACTATAATAAACCTTGGATAATGCACTAGGGATATGCGCCTCCTGTTTGCTCTTTTTTCATCTAACATTAAGAGCCCAGAAGAAGGAGGAACCATAATCCCCTAAAACACGTTGGCTTTTCCTACTAGTTGTCAATAACATTTAGGACAAATGTTTAATGCATACGATGCTTCACTCAAGGCATTTCTCACCATACACGCATTAGTATTTTCTAAGTCACTGACCTATAACAAGCATGTAGATCAGGAGTTCTAAATTCATTCTGATTTCCTTTATCTAAAATGTCAGGCAACTAACTTTTTTTCAGAAGGATACTAGCAATAGCAGCTTTTATATTTCTCTCAGTACAGGTATCCTGGACTATTGTGGAATAGTAATATTATGTAGGTTCCAGTGAATGAAAATTGTATTTTTAATATATTATCATAAGTCATATCATTTTTCTAATGAAGTAAGAGAGTATACTGTTTCTTACAGCTTCTTTCTTCTTCTTGCTTTCAGATTTGTGTGGTAATTGCTGCTGTTTTCGGCATTGTAATATATCGTGTTGTGACTGTCAGTACATTTGCTGCCTTTAAATGGGCCTTAATCAGGAATAATTCTCAGGTTGCTACCACAGGGACTGCAGTGTGTATCAACTTTTGCATCATTATGCTACTGAATGTGGTAAGATGCTATTTATAACTTTATAGTACTTGACTTGTCTGTGAGCTGAAACATGAGAGTTTCCTGGATGTGAAATGATGGCACCGAGTCTCATCCCAGCCTGGGAGCTTGCAGACAATCAATGCTTTTAAATAATTATGTGTTCTCATATTTAATTAGTTAATGACTATAATAAGTCAAATTACTCTAAACAATCGGAACATTCAAAAAATGAAAAGTCTATTTTTAGATACTAGTTTTTCTTTACATTTTTATTTTGTGGTCTTTACTGTTGATAAAGGTAAAAATAGCTATGCTATAACTTGAAGCTAAAATTTTCTTTTGAACCTATTTTGCAGCTCTATGAAAAAGTTGCACTCTTCCTCACTAACCTTGGTAAGTGTAATACCACATTTCATTGTTTTCTTCTACTCTTTTCTCTTCATATTTGTAGGATTATTCAAAAGCTTACTTTAGAAGCCCGAAAAACCACATTGTATGGTTCTCCATGCCAACTTCTTTTATTTTTTTTTTCTATTTCATAGTGAATGTGTCTTTTTTTCTTTCTCATAAAATGATCACCAATGATTGTTGGGTTGTGTGCCAGGTATATAGCACCATGACTATTACTGACAATAGAAAAGAGTTAGCAGTTTGTAGGGCAGTGTGTGGAGGTTATTAATTTGTAGGGCAGAATACAGGGGTAAGCAGTTTGTAGGGCAGATTATAGGGGTCAGCAGGGCAGAGGACAGGGGTCAGCAGGGCAGATGACAGGGGTCAGCAGAACAGAGGACGGGTTAGTAGGACAAAGGGGCAGTGTCAATAGGGCAGTGGGTAAGATCAGCAAGGCAGAGGACAGGAGTCAGCAGAGGAAAGGACAAACACCTCCTCCTCTCCTCTTCTCCAAAACATATTGGGGAGATAATCTATAGTCCTCCACGATAGCTGGGAACAATGTAACTGATAAGAATAAAGCACAGGCAGAGATCACAGAAAGTTATCAGATGACAAGGTTTCTTGCAGGATAAACAGGTATTATTTGCATTTATCGAACAAATATAACAAAAGGCTTTTAACCACTTCAGGGGCAGTGCAGGAGCGGGTTGCTGTTCATAAACGGCGCCCGCTATTTTGGCCTGTGCGCTCTCCCTGGGTGCGTGCGGCACAGCAATACGGTGCCTGCTGTGTTCTCCAGACACAGTGGAACACCGATCACTGTACGGGATCTCTGTGTTAGGTCCCGATCATGTGATCGCTGATTGGCCAATCAGTGATCACATGAATAGTAGTAAGCAAGATGTCACTTCTGACATCATTGCTTACTACCTGTGAAATCTGTGAATGATCACAGAAAACACATGGTACAAGGCTATTCACAACAGCATTGTACCATGTGACAAGCTGTGACCAATCACAGCTCGCACAGTATTTCTCAATGGCTGCAAGAATGCAGCCAGAGAGAAGGAGAAATGATTGCTTTTACAGCCTTTATGGGTAAAAAATGAAAAATAAAATCTTCATCATTCCCTACAAGTAGTACAGTGTCACTATGGTGACACTGTACTGCTAGGGTGACAGTATGTTAAAAAAAAAAACAAAAAAATAAATTAAAATTTAAAAATCATTTTTGAATAATTATAATTTTTGGTTATAAACTAATTTGGGTTATTTTTTTTTTTTTACTAAAAAGATAACTTTATAAATTTTGGCCAAGATTTATGAAGACAAATTTTTGGATTTTTAATTTATATAGCAAAAAAATTAAAATCCCAGTGGTGAATAAATACCACCAAAATAAAGTGGTATCTGTCTCAAAAAAATGCTAAAAAATTCATATGGGTACAGTGTTGCATGACCGCGCAATTGTCATTCTTTTTTGACAGCGCTGAAAGCTGAAAATTGGCCTGGACAGGAAGGGGGTAAAAGTGTCCGGACTGGAAGTGGTTAATGGTATATTTAACAGACAAAAAGGGAGCAAATTAGAGAGATTCATCATTAGGGTCTACATACACTTTAATTTGGGGGGGGTTATCCTCACTGTTAGAAATAATATTTATACTCCTCTATTAATAAACGCAACCCTTTGGGCCCGTTCACGTGTAGTGGGGTTTTTCCTCACTGGAAGAATAGCAGTCACCGCTAGGGCTCAATTGTTTTCTATGTGCCTTTTGGCACCATAATGCAGCCTGGAGGTGAGGTGCAGTCAGCTGCAATAAAAATGCAGACATTGCATTTTATTGCAGTGCATTGGACGGCATTGCATGTCATTGCGCAGCAGCGCAACACACTGCACTGCTGTGCAGTGACATGAATGAAGTGTCACTTTGTGCACCTCAACCAAGGCTGAGAGGCAAAAACAAGTAAAACGGGAACTGTGTGATGCACTAAAATGCGCAATACACCACTTCTTCATCACAGTTCACTGCAGCTGATACAAACAGCTGCTTGCACACTAAACTGTTCAGGTTTAGTGTTCAGGTAGTGTGAATGAGCCCTAAAACAATGAAAAACTTATATTTGGTGATCTCAGAAATTGGTGCGCTGGTACTTGGACTCAACATTAAATAAGTTGAGCACCTTTGGATCAGAGCAGCACAGCACAGAACAGAGGATTACAAACAAGCACGATACATTTTATTGTATTTCTCTTTTCTAATTCTATGTTACAGCTACTTTATAATGCTTGTTTACAATGTATTCATGTTCACTTCCTAATACCTGATCAACCTACCTTATACCAATCATTCAATGTGCATACCCTCATAATACCTTCTTGTAAACAGATTTTGAATTTGAATAATTTCATATAAAATTTGAATTTTTTTAATCACTATGTCAATGAGGGACCTGCAGTGATATATAAATTGTCAACTGAAAATGACTGGTATAGTAAATCACTTCAGAACCAGACTAATATCCTGTAATGTAAGAAAACGCGCATGTCGTTTTTCCTCTTGTTTGTTTCACAATATTGAACATATAGTAGAAACCTCCTTAACCAAGTAGTTGCACATTAGTTTGTTGATTACATGAGAGTGAAAATGGTTAAAATCTACAGTTGTGCACATGTTTTTGCCCACAGAACAGCCACGTACTGAATCAGAATGGGGAGAACAGCTTTACTTTGAAAATGTTTCTTTTTCAGTTTGTCAATCTGAACAGTTCGACCTTTTACATAGCATTCTTCCTTGGAAGGTAAGGCCATTCCTTGTAAGTTTTCCTTTTAAATGTAGAAGTCTGGAGAGCTCTAGAGAAGGTAGTGGTGTTGGGTTCTGGCATTTTACACATTGTATAAGTCCTTGCTTAAGATACTGAAAGTAATGCCCTGTATTTGTCCCAGATTATATGGATCAGAAACGTTAGCAAAAAACACATTAATCTGATTGAATACAATATAAAAATGTCTTACACACAATAATTATAACTGATTTTCTTCAATACATAGATTTATATTGTAAGTAAACCAAGCAGTGTTAGATTTTCATGCTACTGATGGCTATATAAATGAATAATTTGCTAAAATGGATCAGATTTCAACATATTAAATGATTCTATGAGAGTGTGTACAGATTTAAAAGACTATTGCTAATAGGAGTGACAGTAATTGAGATCAAATTGCTTTAAGTCTTAATTCCTTATTGCATGTATGCGTTTTTTTCACAGAGATGTGTTAGACTTTTATAGACATCTGAATACATTTCAATAAAGTATACATAATACATGTGTCTTCTTTGATTAAGTGGCCTAGCTAATAACAGTGTAGGTATAGTTTCATTTAGTGACTTTGGCTAATTTCAAATTGTTGGCTCTGTCTCTCATCTATATATATAATAAAAATGTGAAAGAATGCTGACCTACAATCAGCAAGCAGGACCTTTCAAACTTGTTTTCACTCTACAATAAAGTCTGGGTTCTATGTCGCACAGACTGGCAACATGCGTGCAAGCTGCATCATAACATTTAACCTCTTAACGCCGGTGCGTCCCGGCCCTTTAAAAGTTTCAGAAGCCAGGAGGCAGTGTGACCGTCGTGATTCGCCGTCATAGTGGTCACATGATCCGAAAAGGTCCAGATCAAAAGGGGAGATTGGAACCTTTCCATGAGTCATGGACACATGTGCTGGGACCGCGCAGGAGCGCGCACTCTCAGCACATATGTATTTTCTAATTGCACGCAAATATGTGGCCGCTCAGCGTCAAGGCCCAGACGCTGAGAGGCCTCATATCTGCGTGCACTCGGCGTCAAGGGGTTAAAGTTGTTGTAAACCCTTACATATGTCTAGTGAAGTGACTGCCTCAGGTGATACACAGAAATGAAAGCTTGAGGTGATTGTAGCCATATTAGTGCATTTGCGACAGGAACAATTGAGTACTGTCCGTGATACTTTTTTTATTTGCACTAACATACAATTTTGCGGACAAGCTTTTGGGGAATGTCCCCTTCTTCAGGTCTAAGCAGTACTCATCTTAATACTTAGTACTGCTTAGACCTGAAGAAGGGGACATTCCCCGAAAGCTTGTCCTCAAAATTGTATGTTAGTGCAAATAACAAAAGTATCACGGACAGTACTCAATTGTTCCTGACAGAAATGAAACAAATCCTCCAACAACGGTTGTACCAGTCTATCTGTAGTCTTCTCCACACAGCACTCAGGAACGGAGCTGAGGCTGTCAGTCTGCTGGAGGTCCTTCCCCTGTCACCATTTTTCTCTTGGTGTCAGGAAAACTTGTCAGAAGTGATTCATGCTGATAGCAGAGGAATGAAGCAGCAGACAGAACTGACACTTAGTTCTCTTAATTGAGACAAGTACAAACTATAGAGAGATATGCTTTGTTCACATTTCATGTCTGAGGTTTACAACCACTTTAAACCCCCATGTTGTGTAGTTATACCTGTGTTTATAGGATCCCCAACTCAGGTCAGTAGATTGTTTGAAAAAAGGGCTGGATCCATTACTAAATGTAGAAAATATAACTGTATACTAACATTTGTAGGTAATAACGACAGGTGTAGTTGATCAAGGGAATATCTTTTCTGATTGCCTCCTGGGGATCAGAAAGGATTTTTTTCCCCTGCTTGAGCAAACTGGACCATGCTTTCTTGGGCTTTTTGGCCTTCCTCTAGATCACCTGTGGGTATAGAATTGTGTATATGTTTTCTATTTGTCTTTTTTTCTGTTGGTTGAATTAGATGAACTTATGTCTTTTTTTCAACCTGACTACCTTTGTAACTACTATATGTCAGAGCACACTTCAACAGCAATAAATCAGCTTTGAGTAGGCTTACTTTGGGGCTATTTTACTCCTCTCTGTGGTAACACTATTAAAAAATCCTAACTTGTTTAAGGCAGCTGAAGATCTCTCATGAGAAGATGATGAACTATAAATCAAATTAAAACAAATAATAAATTGTCTTTCTTGTTAGTTGCGAAGTGATTTATCGGTTGACGTTTTCTCTGTCTGCTCACCTGCTAAATCTTAATATGAAGACATCTGCTAGATGATCATTTCCTCAACTAAAGTTTCCTATTATATAAGGGACAACAGGAGAGGATTTATGATTATAAGCACTTAGAGTTTATTTCAGAGTTGAGAGATAAATCAGTGCAGATAAATAGTGCATGGGCATCTTTATCTAAACCATTGTCATCTGTCATGTCCAGTTTTTCTTTGTAGGTATACTAAATTTACACAGTAACCTCCACCACATGTTTTAACAAAACAGACACTGTTCACAGTATCTGCTGTTGCAATTCTGACCTCGAAAAAATGTCTGTATATCTCCCGGCCATGTCCAGACTCCAGACAAGAATGTAACAGGTTTTTTGCTATGATGGCTCTTTAAAAAGGTGGAGCTCGTAATTTCTGTTTGGAGCATTCAGAGATTCCGCTTTATGATTTTTAAATGTTTTAACCACTTGTCGCCCAGCCACCGCATATAAACGGTTGCAGGGCGGCACTCGTAGGCAAAACCACGTTTTAAAACGTGGTTCTGCAAAACAGGTAGGGGGCACACGTGAGGCGCGCGCCCGCCCTGCCTGTCCCGCGGGTGTCAGCAGTTGGTCTCAGCCGTCGGGTCACGGCCGGTTATTACCGGCCGTTTTCCCTTGATGAGCGGTGATCGCTGACACAGAGCAGGGCTGCATTGTTTACACACAGCCCTGCTCTGTGACAGTTCCCCGACAAGCTGAAGAGGGAGAGAAGAGTTTCTCTCCCCCGATCAGCTCCCCCCTCCCTCCCCCCGTCCAGTACACACCCCCGCCCCCTAGTAAAACACTCCCCTCACACAGTAAACACTAAATATGTTAACCCCTTCCTCCCCAGTGACATTAGTACAGTGTCAGTGGGTTTTTTTTTCACTGATCACTGTATTGGTGTCACTGGGGATGTCAGTGACCCAAGTCAGTTCCCCCCCCAGTGTCAAAATGTCCGCCGCAGTCCCACCATAAGTCGCTGATCGCCGCCATATGTCGCTGATCGCCACCATTATTAGTATAAAAAAAAATTTAAATCCCAGTATCTTTCCCGCCATTTGTAAACGCTATAACTTTCACGTAAACCAATTAATTTACATGTATTGGGTTTTTTTTTTAGCAAAGACATGTCGCAGAATGCATTTTGGCAGAAATTTATGACTAAATTTGATTTTTGCATTTTTTTTTACTGGACATGTTTTATAGCAAAAGTCCAAAATATCGTTTTTTTTCCTCAAAATTGTCAGCCTTTTTTTTTTATAGCGCAAAAAATAAAAACCGCACAGGCGATCAAATACCACCGAAAGAAAGCTCAATTTGTGGGAAAAAAAGGATGTAAATTTCATTTATGTACCATATTGCATGACCGCGCAATTGTCCGTTAAACTAGCGCAGCGCTGTATAGCAGAAAAATGGCGTAAATTGCAGTATTTATACCATAGTTTGTAGACGCTATAACTTCCACACAAAGCAATCAATATACACTTATTGGGATTTTTTTTTACCAAAAACATGCAGCAGAATACATTTTGGCCTAAATATATAACCAACTTTGAATTTACTATATATTTTTTATAGCTGAAAGTAAAAAATATTGTTTTTCTTCAAAATTTTTGGCATTTTTTTGTTTATGGCGTGAAAAATAAAAAGCGCACAGGGGATCAAATTACACCGAAAGAAAGCTCTATTTGTGTGAAAAAAAGGACGTAAATTTCGTTTGGGTGCAGCATTGCATGACCGCGCAATTATCAGTTGAATTAGTGCAGCGCCGAGTAGCAAAAAGAGGCCTGGTCATTAAGGGGGGTAAATCCTCTGGAGCTCAAGTGGTTAATGAAGTGAAAAGAAAAATGGTGCAGGTAAGATTTACAAACTGCCAGCCATCTCCTTCCTTTCAATGGTGAAGGAAGGATGATTGGTACAGGTACACTTCCACCTGTTATTCTCATCAGTTTTTGAAAGTTATTGGTAAAGTACAACCAACTGAGACTTACAGGTGATATCATGATTCTTGCAGCCATCTTCTTGAATCTCAGTAGCTCCAGTTGGAAATCTTCCCAAGGGAATTCTTAGCTCTCCCCCTCACTAAAATCATTACAAAGCGAAGAAGCACTGAAAACTGAAAAATGGCTTGGAAAAGAATGGGTTGTAAAATGCTGGTAATAAAGTTGTTGTAAAGGCTCAAGATTTTTTACCTTCATGCAATCTTTATGTGCAACAGCCCCCTATTACTTTGCTGAGCCCCATCACGATACGGTGATGTGCAGGAGAGCCTCTGCTCATCAGGGACTCTCCCTACTCATTGGCTGAGAGATTGGCTCCCACTGCTGTCAATCACAGGCAGTATGCCAATGAGGAGAAAGAGGGGCCAAACCACAGCTTGGTGTGTGAATGGACACGGATAGCAGTGTCTCAGGAGCAAGCCTGTTTCAGTGCTCCCATAGTAGGCTGCTTGCTCTGAGAGCACTAGGCGGGAGGGACGAGCCATTAGCACTGGCGGGGATCTAAGAAGAGGAGGTTCAGGGCTGCTCTGTGAAAACCACTGCACAGAGCAGGTAAGTATGACATGTTTGTTATTTTTTATTATTTTTTTATTGCCTTTAATTGAAGTGGCAATAAACTCAACTTTTTTGTTCATCATGTCATTCCAAAATATTAAGTATACCACTGCTTTGGTTTTTTTTTGGTTTTGTTTTGTTAAAAAGCCTCTCACCATTGTTTTCAGGCTATTTCTTGGCCTGTGCTCACTCCCTATCCTCCACTGATGCACCTCATTGCTACTAATGTAGAGTGTGAGCAGTGCTGTTGTTTCTGGTCACATGCTCCTCTCTATGTGTACTACAATTCTAAAAGAGCTAAATGTGTCTGCTGGTAGATGTGTAGTTCATCTCAGGGGTGAGCAGGAAAGGTTGGCTACATTCACATACAAAAAAGGGGGCATGGAGAGCAACCGTAGCCACCATAGAACAGGAAGTCTGAGAGCATCAGAAAAAGTGTGCATTTGAGAGATGAAACAAAAGAAAGGAGATAGATGCATTTCATTTATTTTATTTAATAAAAAAATGGGAGTTTAGTGTCCGTTTAAGTAGAGTTTACCTGGTCTTTAATTCAGCACAGTGGTTGAATCACTAGCAGAGTAGGTTTAATCTGATATAGCAGAGTCACTGGTCCTCAGAAACATTACTCTCATGACTGTCCTTGGTAGTTTCAATGGTAAACGAGAGCTCCAGCTGTCAACTGCTGCAGTTTTTTGTTGTCCTTTGGAGGGTGTGCCACAATTTCAATGTCACCAAATCAATGGGCAGAGGGGTGGATGGTAGGTGAACTGGAGAGCATTTGATTATGCTCAGCTGACACACCTTTAATGCCAACTATCCTAAATGTATATATATTTCAATCTGTCAAGGTTTCACAATCTAACAACCAGCAAAAATAAAATGGTGTTTTATAAGATGCCAAATACAATATAGCTTTTATGAATATTTTTTAGGAGGTCTAATGTCTTGTTAGCTTCCTGGACCGTGTCAATTACTCTGTAAATGATTCTAATTATACATACAAGTGGCCACATTTTATGAAGCTAACTGCATTATGGCAGGAATTGGGGATTATGAATTAAAGTTGGCTTTCGAAACTCAGTTTTACGTAAAAAAGTTGACTCACAGAACGTATTGCTTAAACTGCTTATAAACTGCTTATGACAGGGCACTTTATGACAAGGCCTCATCAGCGGGACTGTGGTCTGTCAAATGTGTCACCTTCTCTGAATACTCAAACTAACCATGAGATTTAAATATTGACCATCCAATTCAGGAGAAAATGAGGACTGCATAGTATTATATACTATACCATTCCCCCACTGTAATACGTATGTACAGATAATGGGCACATATGCACACATGCATGTATTATTAATATTATTGGTATTATTATTATTAATAATATTGATAATAATAATAATATTTAAGGATGTATTGGGTAACAACTAGTAATCTTCCTTTAAATTGGCTAATTGCATAGAACAGTCAAGTACATCTCATAGCAAGCTAAAACCTTTAAATTGGAACTGAACTCGAAAAAGTGAAGATTTGCTATGTTATAGGGAAACTTTAGAAATGTAAACTGTGCCTAAGCAGTATCCTCAAAAATTTCACTTATGTCTGTAATTCTTCCTCAAATATAGCAGTGCACCTCCTAGTATATGAGGGTGCCTAGGTGCACTCTTGTGGCTGCAGCCTAGCTGTATCATTGTAGTGAGAGATCTAAGGCACTGCTGTCTCCTACTGCTGGTCTCAGGAGAATTGAAGTAAGATGTGGAGATGTCGCTACTGTGCTGCTCACCAAAATGGCCACGCCTATACAGGCACAGTGCGGAACAAGGCCTGGTTCAGTAATGGGGAAAAGATCAGCTGCAGAGAGATCATAAGCAATGCTAGTGATGCTGGTGACAAGTCCTTTGGCCTCTGCCAGCCTCTTTTTTGGACACAACTTCCAGAGTTCAATCCTCTTTAGGTTCTCAAGAAACCTATCTATCAACATATCTATGAATATATGGGTTGATTTGTGCTTGTAGTTAAATTTACTGGTGCTTAGCATATCTTTACATTCATAAGAATCAAATTAGACATGCATGTATGTATGATGATCATTACAGAACCACTAGTTTTAAATAGACAATTCTTAGGATGTTTTACAATTAAGGGCTCTGGGAAGCTACCCAGATATCCTGCATCATATGTCACCCCTACAGGTAATGTTTGTCAAACTGGTGGCCCTCCAGCTGTTGCCAAACTACAAGTTCCATGAGGCATTGCAAGATTGACAGTTACAAGCATGACTCCCAAAGGCAGAGGCATGATGGGACTTGTAGTTTTGCAACAGCTGGAGGGCCGCCAGTTTGACACCCCTGGTTTAGCACATTTAATATGTTGCTTGGAAAGATCATTTGCAGTTCATAAATTGATATGTTCATTTTAATAGTTCCATAGAATAAACCTGTATGTCACTATTCAATTATGCATGTACAATTTTTTCCCTAAAGGTTTACTGGAAGACCAGGTTCTTATTTAAGGCTTATCAACAGATGGAGGCTGGAAGAGGTTAGTGTTTTCACTAAGCTGAGTCTTTATGTTGGGAGTTTAGTGGATGAAATTCAGCATAGCTCAAATACTCATGATTTGTGAAAACAATTTAAATAAGTTATGCAAATGATATACTTTTTTCCTATGTATCTGTAGTGTCACCCCAGTGGATGCCTTATTGACTTATGCATGCAGATGGGCATAATTATGGTACTGAAGCAAACCTGGAATAACTTTATGGAACTTGGCTACCCGTAAGTAACTGTAAAGAAGTTACAGCTGTATACCAATAAAAGATAGTGAACTGCAGTACATTGACCTATAAGAACCAGATAATTCTTTACTCTAGTGAGATGTGTGCCTCAGGGTTTCTGGTTGGTTTTTATTTGTTACTGTATGTTTTATTGCCTTACCAAATATTATAATAATATTTTTTTATTTTGGTGATAATCTAGATTGATTCAGAATTGGTGGACTCGAAGAAGATTAAGACAGGAGCATGGTGCTCATGGGAAAGCTAGCTTTCCACAGTGGGAGAAAGACTATAACTTGCAGCCCATCAATGCATATGGATTATTTGAAGAATACCTTGAAATGAGTAAGTTATGTTATTTTTCTTCCCTTGATGTGGTGGTCTCATGTTGCAACTCATTAAACAATTGCAAGCCAACATTTAATAAGGTACAATACAAAGAGAGACTTGTATTCATACTACGGTAAAATGTTTTGGTTATCGTTTTTGGTCATAATCTAAATACTGTTTGTAGCTCCACACTTCAGACTTTACAGGATCTGTGGGGACACTCTGGGAAGAACTGGAGTTTACTGACATCTTCATAGGAACCAGTTTATAATATGTACACAAAATGGGGAACATTCTTAAAGTAGTTGTAAAGGCTCAAGGTTTTATTTAACCTTCTGTATGCAGTGCCCTCCCCCCCCCCCATCTTTACCTGAACCCTTTTCTCAACAAAAGTGGAGTTACTCTTTAAGCAGATCAAAGTGATTGTAAAGGTACAAATGAATAAAAAAATAACATACAGGCTCTGTGCAGAGGTTTGCACAGAGCAGCCCCAACCCTCCTCTTCTCAGGTCCCCTGTTGGTGCTCCTGGCTCCTCCCCCCTGCTGAGTGCCCCCAGAGCAAGCCCCGTGCTCGCTCCCAAGTGGGCCCTGTATGTCCATAAGACACATAGAGCTTGGCTCTGCCCCCCAACAAACATGTCGTACATACCTACTCTGTGCAGTGGTTTTGCAAAGAGAAGACCCAATCCTCCTTTTCTCAGGTCTTCTGCCGGTGCTCCTAGCCCCTCCACCCTGCCGAGTGCCCCCAGAGGAAGACACTTGCTCTGGGGACACTCGTGCAGGCTCCCTGCAGAGCCGGCCCTATATGTCCAGAAGACACAAAGAGCACTGCTCGGCCCTGCCCTCCACTAAGTCCTTACTGACAGTGATTGACAGCAGTGATTGACAATGGCTCCCGCTGCTGTGTCTGAGCCAATAAGGTGAGAGAGGCCCGGGAGAGCTGATGCTCTCATGAACATTGCTGGTTTGAGATTGGGTTCAGGTAAGTATTAGGGGGGCTGAGGGGGAGCTGCACACTGAAGGTTTCTTACCTTCACAAATAGAATGCATGAAGGTAAAAAACCCTTCAGCCTTCAGAACCACTTTAACTCTCTCTATCTGTCCTGTTTACCATAGTCAATGAGCGTTTAAGAGAAAGTGAAAAAAATTCTAATCTTTGGATTATCCCCAAAACAGGAAAAGAGGGGAAATCTTCTAATGCATGCACTAGTTCTAGTGACCCTGGTGGCAAACAGTAATTCCCTCCTTTGGAGGGATTTCCTCTCACTGCTTTGGCTATTGGGCAGGAAGTGAAGGGAAATCCCCCCAATGGGACACAGATGGGACACCCTCCATATTTTAATTAAAAAAAATTTACTTTAATAGAGACCCATGTATGTAGCCACTTCTTCCCTATTAAACACATTTGTGTCCAGTTGTTAATGGAAAAATTGTGAGGATTAAAATGTAGAAAATGTTACCGGTATACACTGCAGTCTGCAGTCAATAATAACAAATCTAATTACTTACTGGGGAGCTATCAGCAAATACAGTTTTTTTAAAAGATTAACTTAAATCCTTGGCTGGCACCACCTTACCGACATAAGTGCCCACTACTTGTTTAGTAAATCAGCTCTTTGGTCTGTAATTTTAAACACTTGTAATGACCCAAATATTTAATAAGCTAAAATGACTTCACTTTCACCACAGAAATTATTTTTTTTGCCACTGCAACATGAAAGTTTATACATATACAGTACATCTTATATTTATTATATAAGAATACAGGAAGTAAAATACAGTTTTTTTTCTCCCTTTTTTCAGCCTGATGTAGAGATTAGATATTTTAAATAATAACATAGAAGGTTCAATAGTTTGGGAGGGATGAGTGATACATAATGGTGCTGTACTTGCTCTTACCTTGAAAGTAAAAGAAATAAAGAATAAGTGCGGGTACTGAACTTCTAGATGATGGCTGCTGCATTGGAAGAGTTCTGTAAAAATGGCAGCAGTGGAAGGGTTTTTAAAAACACACATGCAACACATCCAATGTTTACTTTGACCCCAAAGACCGGAGGACTGACTGAGAATTAACTGTACTAGGCAGGAGATGATATCACCACTAGTGGGAGGAAATGAAAACAAACCCAGAAATGATTGGCTCAGCCTCCTCCTCCTCTCTGCATGTCCCTGCTAGCATTTGTCAAACTCATCATTAAGTCAGAAAACTACAAAGTTAAATCCAAACTCTATTGAAGTCCATGGGGGGGGTGCATCTTGAAAAACAGCTATGCCCACTCAGGCCAGTAGGCAAGTGGTTGTGAAACAAAAGGATAAGGAAGCTGGGCAAGGGCATGAGGGACATGTACCTGTAGCACTACCCCCTTAGGAGTTGCTAGAAGATTTGGGTTCCCCTATAGTCCTGCATAGCTGGGCAACATGCATCTCCATACAGACTTCCATCCAGAGTCAGAGGTCAGTCCTTGAACTTTGGTTTTGTTTTTATTTAGGGGATTTGAACTGGGATAGGGTTAGGGGTATATAGGATGCGCAAGGGACCTGATGAACTGAGGACAACTTCCTGGAACTATTTACAAGCCTTCACTGCAACACAGTCTCTTTAGGAGAGCTAGCCAGCGTCTCTTTAATGTACCACCCCAGACCCTAGATGAACTCCTCTTCTTCACCCAGCAATCTGGAGGTATCCCTGAACAGGGGATCTGGTGCCTGTTACTTTAAAAGTGGACAGTGCCAAATAGGCAGCAAATCTGGTTTCCCATCAGAGTGCTCCTTCCCCCCCTATCGCCCAGTGGGTGCGGGGGTACTTATTCAGATTCTCTCCTGTACCGCTGGTGGATTGTTTTCATCCAGTACCGGGAAAACATGGGACACGTCCACCTCGTATGGAGGACGTCTCCCCTAGCAGAGCATCCCTGGAAACAGGTACCAGAGGCTGATGGGTGAAGATGTGCCAGGTGGGATGGGACAGGGTACCACCTCGTAACCATTTTGAAGACCAATTCAATAGTGAGAATGTTAATAGAACAGGAAGTCAAGGTAGTCTAGATTTGAAACCAGCAACCCCTATCTTTTGTACTGCTAAGATCCCTTTCCCACCTGGAAATGTAAGTGTGATTGTTAGGAGTTTGAAGATTGTTCACTTGTGAGTAGAGGATCGATATGAGTTTGGGGGAGAAGGGTGTCCAATGACAAATGTGTTCAAATATAGACAGTTGAGTCGTCGGGTCTTTATCAACGAGCACCGAGGTCAACCAATGTTTGATTTGGAGGAATCGGAAGAGTTCAGTGTGAGGAACTTGGTATTTGTCCCCTAATTCTGCCCAGGTGTAGGCAGAGCGACCAGTGAGAAACGAGTTGACACAATGAAAATTATGGGAAATCCACCAGTGGAAATCACTAGGGGACTCAAGGCCTGGAGAGAACATAGGGTAACCTAAAAGGGGGAGGAGGGGTAGATGGGGGGAGAGTAAACTACTAGAATATTTGGTAGAGTCCCACACTTGCAGCGAGTTGGACATTAGAGGGCTAATGGTTGTCAGCCTTAATTTTTGGGGGAAGCCACAGAAGAGAACGGGGGGAGACTGGAGAACAAGAGAGCGCTTCCAAAGCAGGGGCGGACTGACAACTCATGGGGCCCCCAGGCAATAGGGGATCATGGGGCCCCTGTGTCCTTGCCCAAACTCAAAAAAGCTTATGAAAAAGGTACCAGGGCATCTCATGGGGCCCCCTACTGACCCCAGGCCCCCGGGAAGTGCCCAAGTTTCCAAATGGTCAGTCGCCCCTGTTCCAAAGTGACCCATGTGGGGGCTTGTTGTGCAGCATATAGAGAGGTCAGGGATGCGAAGAATTTGAAGAATTGGGAACCCCCAAGCCCCCTTGCTTCCTATGAATGAGTATAGTATGTCTGGTGACCCAAGGTCTTTTGTTAGACCAGATAAATCTCAAAACATGATTTTGAAATGACTTGAGGGCATAAGTGGGGAAAGGGAGGGTTCGGAATAGAAATAAAAGCTTGGGAAGGATGGTCATTTTTACAGCATTAATTTTGCCAATCAAGGAAAGGTGGTGGCGAGACCAAGATGTAAGTAAAGCTTAGAGGGAGTGAAATGTTGGGATATAGTTATCCTCATAGAGGGTTTGATAGGATTTGGTAAGGTGGATCCCTAAGTAATCTAAGTGAGTACTAGACCAAGCGAAATTAGAATTTTGTTTCAATAGGAAGATCTCCGCCTCAGGGAGGGAGATATTAACAGCCATTGATTTGTCTTCATTTACTACCAGGCCAGAAATATTAGAGAAGCGAGAAAGGATAGAAAAAAGGACAGGAAGCGCAGTGTGAGGCTGAGTCAGGGTCAAGAGCATATCGTCTGCAAATGCGCTAACCTTAAATCCTTAAATGATTATTGGGCAAGCGTAACTCCTTTCATATCTGAGTTGGATCTGATAGGGTGTAATAAGGGTTCTAGAGCTAGGATGTAGAGTATGGGGGACAACGAACAACCTTCACGGGTACCCCTGTGGACTGGGAATGAAGAGGATTGTTGAGAAAGGTAACAAACCGTGGCGGAGGGCCTATGGCATAGGGCTCTCAGCCAGGACATAAAGAGGCTGGGAATCCCCATTTATTCAGAGCATAATGCATTTACTCCCAGGATAGAGAACTGAATGCCCTCTGAATATCCAGGCCAAGAACTATACCAGGGGTTCGATTGTGATGCAACAAATGGATAAGGTGGATCACTTTGCAAGTGTTATCGGGAGCCTGTCTAAAGGGGACAAAGCCCACCTGATCTTTATGGATAAGGTGGTGCAAGAAGGAATTTATCCTGGAAACCTTTCTATGTGATTTCAAGGGCAACATTAGAAAACCCCAATTTGTTAAATTACATTCTTGGGAGATACTGTGTGTGGTGTTACAGAAACATAGAATTCTTATAGACAGCATCAGCTACACCGTATTCAGGCATCACATATTACTATTTGTAATACGTTTTCTTAATTTTACATTGTTACAG